CACAATGCCGGTTCTGGGGTCCCGGCGCTTCAACTTGCAAAAAAGCCGTCACAGCTGCAGCCTGTTGCAGCAAAAGGCGCGTGGGGAGTGCGGAGACACATGGAGAAGGAGAAGCGGCTGGCACGGCTGGCAGAGAGGCCCTGAGGCCCTGTCGCCAGCAGGGCCACCGCTTCCGGCCTTCTCCTTCAGCATCTCGGGCCTTAGAGGAGATGCCACTCTACGCAGAGCTCTGCAAAAAAGTGCGCCTTTGAAGAATTCAATGTGTGTTTGTTGGTGTCCATGAAGTGTCTCGTGTGTCCTCCCGCACTTTCTTTTGTGTGGGGGAGGCTTCTACTGTTGCACTTCTTGACCCTCTTGCTCTGGTTCGACAGATCCTCAATCGGGTCGGCTACTGGCTCTGCAAGGCCTTTGACTGCTCGAGCTTCTGTTCTTAAGACTCGGATCCGTAAGCGTGAATGTCCACAGCAGCGCAAAGAAAGAAGGTAGGCTGCACATACTTGCTCTACATGCTGGTGGATATCCAAATGCTGGACCGGCCATGCATGCAGCGAACAAGTACTGTCATGGGCAAGATGTCTTAGAGAAACTCACGGCTCACAGCAAGGGCTCATGCTGCCGGAGCCACTGTACAATTAATCACATCGACCCGTGTGGGACTGCTTCTGCGCTGTGTCTTGCTGATGCCACAGAGCCACAGGAAAAACGCGAAGCACATCGAAGAGCGTGCTTTGCACGCGGAAATATCTTTCATGTTTTGCAACCATGTAGTGCTGGGGTGCTGGTTGCAGCAGTGGGTTTAGCAGTTATTGCTGTGCCTCAAGTTCTCAAGTGTACAGGAGCTGTGCATCGGCTGCATCACTGCGCTTCGGCCTGTGCAAACACTCCAGCCGAAAGCCCAACCCATCCCCACCCCGAATCTCAGAAAGCAGGGCGTCAAAGAACAGCCCAGCCCTAGCTTCGATCAAGTCTGCCACATGGAGGGCTTGTACAGTAGTTCAATGCTCTTGCTCGGGGAGCTGCAATATTCCCTGAGGGTGTGCACGCCACAAGATTGACTCACAAGATGCTTGAGCTGCTTGAGTATGCCGGCAATGACTGGCATGCCTCTTCCCTACTTGCACAGCTTTTCTGCAACAAGAACTTGGGCAGGAACGTGATGATGCGTTGTGCAGAATGTCTGAAGCAGTGGCACGTTAAGCGAGGGGTCATAGTTTAGGGTTCTAGTTTCGGATCGGCTGGGGGGCAGTTTCGGAGCAAGGGGGGGTGAGTTTCGGCACGTTGGGGTCAGTTTCGGATCAGGCCCCGGTCAGTTTCGGATGGGCCGAGGTCAGTTTCAGGTCCAGAGCAGGCCCGGTTCTAAACGCGATGGCGAAGCCGTCGCTTGCTGCGCGCAGTAGGCTGCTTCAATGAACTTTGTTAGACGACAGACCGTGCGGTAGAATCTTAGAACGATCCAAAACCCAGCCCTAACACAACCCGAACCCCAAACCCCGAAAGCCTTAAACCCTAAATTCCGGGAAAGCAACACCTGATTGCACTAACCTATGCATTCTTTACAAGCCCTACGGTTCAGAGTTTAGGATCCTGACCCATGTATGTACAGCTTTAGGCCCTAGCGACAGCAATGAGAACCTGCTCGGATTTACTTGTCCTTGTGAGGGGCACGTTATTTAAAGGTCCGATGTTGAACGGTACATCTATATCAGCGGCCTCTCTCATGTCTTGCCGATGCCGTTGGCGTCTCTGCTTGTCGCCGGCTGCGCTGGCTCTGGTACCGCAAGTGCAGCTGCTCGGATGTGCCAAAGATAGGGGCCCGAAAAGCCCGTGAACTCAAGGATCAGGCATGTAAGGGTTTTTTTGGGGAAGAAGTATTTTGCGTTTTGTGTTTTAATGTTTGTTTTCCTGTGTTTCTTGCTATCTGTTTTTGTTGTTGGTTATCTGCATCTTTGTTAACTTGCTTTGCTGGGACCTGTCACGCCCTTGGGTTCCTCTTTTTTGAATATTTGCGTCTGTTTGCTCGGATATTTGCATAGTAGTCTCTCTGAGTCTGGGGTTTAACCTCAAAAAGCCTATGGAAACCAGCAATACATAATAATCGAGAACCACATAACAAACAAACAGAAAAACTAATGAAAACTAATAGATAGGTAGCGGACACGCAACGAAACAACCGATTCGACACCTGTAAAACCAATGAAAACCAATGTGCGGTTCCGGTTCACCACAGACCTTGATTCACGCCATGCCCATTGGGCGATTCTGGTTCACCACGTATCCCATGCCGGTTCATCAAATCTCTTAAACCCCTCCACCATTGGGCGGTTCCGGTTCAGCACGTATTTTAAGCACGCCTCATCATTTGGCGATTCCGGTTCATCATATGTCTCAAGACCCCTCCCCATTGGGCGATTCCTGTTCTTCATCTGAAACACGCCCCTCCATTGGGCGATTCGGGTGCATCATACATCCTAAACACAGACACACACAGACAGACAGACAGACAGACAGACAGACAGACAGACAGACAGACAGACAGACAGACAGACAGACAGACAGACAGACAGACAGACAGACAGACAGACAGACAGACAGACAGACAGACAGACAGACACACACGCACGCACGCACCCTCGCTTGGCGATTCCTGTTGCCGATTCCCCCCATTAGGCGATTGCGGTTTATCATATATGGTTGAAACGGGCCCCTCATTGGGCGATGCCGGTTCACCATAAATCTTCAGCACGCCCCTTCATTTGGTGATTGATTCATCATATATCTTAAGCACCCCCCAATTGAGCGATTCGTGCTCATCACACACACACAGATGTATCCTCATATATATATATGTATGTATATGTATATGTATATGTATATGTATATATGTATATATGTATATATGTATATATGTATATATGTATATATGTATATATGTATCTTAAAACACTCCCCCCCCAGTGGGCGACTCGAACCGGAATTGGCAAATCAGGGGGCATGTTTAAAATATATGATGAACCGGGATCACCAAATGCGGCGTGTTTTAAACAAATGATGAATCGCCAAATGAGGGGACGTGTTGAAGATATACGAGGAGCAGGAATCGCCGAATGAGGGGGGCGTGTTTAAGAGATATGATGAGCCGGAATCGCTCAAAAGAGAGGGGGGGGCTGAAGAAATCTATATGATGCCCCGGGATCGCCAAATGATGGGGCGTGCTTAAAATATGTGCTGAACCGGAATCGCCCAGTGGTGGGGGGGTTTTTAAACTATTTGATGAACGGGAATCGCCAAACGAGGGGGCATGTTGAAGAAAGTTGATCAACCGGCATTGCCCAATGCGGGTGAATCGCACAGGTGCGTTTCATTAAGATCTGTGGTGAACCAGAATCGCCCAATGGGCAGGGCGTGTTTAAGGTCTGTGGTGAACTGGAACCGCACATTGGTTTTACGGCTGTCGTATCGGTTGTTTTGTTGCATGTCCATTAACTATGTATTACTTCCGAACGTTTTTTCTATTGCTTTATTATGGGACTTTCAAAACTTATAAATTACTGGTGTCCATTGGCTTTTTCAGTTAAACCCCAGACTCAAAGAAAATAATATGCAAATCTCAAATATCCAAGAAAAGGAACGCAGACATTCGAGTGAGCAACCCAAAAACGTGGCAGCAAAGCAAACATAGAAATATCCCGATAACCAACAACAAACAACAGATAACCAACATATAAAATACTTCTTCTCCCAGGAAACCCTCAAATCTGATCCTGGTGTTGACAGGCTTTTGGGGCCCCTATCTGTTGTACCAGAGCCAGCGCGGTCGGCGACAAGCAGAGAGGCCAACAGCATCTGCAGAACGTGAGAAGGGCCGCTAATGTAGATACACGGTTAAACATCGGACACTAAAACAGGTGCCCTCAAATTGTTCAAGAAGCCCCACAAGGACAAGTAAGGAACGAGCAGGTTCTCATTGCCAGGCCCCTAAAGCCGTGCATACAAGGGTCAGGACCCTAAACCCTGAACCCTAGGGCTTGTAGAGCATTCCAATGGGTCGGGTTTAGGGTTTAAGGCTTTTGGGGGTGGTTGTGTTAGGGCCAGGGTTTTGGTTGGTTTTGGGTCGTTTCAAGATTCTACCACACGGTCTGTCGTGTCAAAATCCTTTGAAGCGGGGCCTGCTCTGGACCTGAAACTGACCTCGGCCCGATCCGAAACTGACATGGCCGTAGTCCCGAAACTGACCCCGCAAACCGTGAAACTCGCGACATCCGTTTAGCGAGACGCAACGGCAGCGCCGTCGGAAAATCCCCTGCCTCTTGGACCGAGCGTGCTCAAGCTGACTTGCCGTGCTCGAGCTTCGTTCGTTCTTGACATGCAGACTAAGGGAAGAAGGAAGGCCTTCTGTTCAAGTGCAAGACGGACAAGCCAACATGGCACGGAGACCTGTGGTACGTATGGGATATTGGGAGGTTTTGTTCCGGACCCATCGACCACAAGCTCCGTCCGAAAGGTGGACATGCACTGCCTAAGCCATGCAAAACTGCAGGAGTCTGTTGCCTGTTCCACTTTCATCTCCCGGAGGACCTTGATGCGCTGGTCCCGCACCTGACAGCTTTGCACTGAGGTTCACGGCTGTCAGCCCTATTTGAGTGTTTAGCTTGACATCGGCCTGGGAGGGCCACGAAAGCGACGGGAAGGTAAACATACGTGCTCGTCTCAAAGTGGCTGGGGAGTGTGGGGAACCATCCCTTAACCACTGCTAAACCAGAAAAGGACCCGCCAATGCGTGTTTGGCCTGGTGGCTAAACGAAAGTGAACTCCGCAAGCTTCACAGAGCTAGTTTTCGAGATTTTCGGGAGCATTATGCTTGCTGATCCAACTCTTCGTCGAGCTTCCCGCCATGTCCGAAAGATGCCAAAAACCGAACCTACATGTGAGGCCCATACATGTGATGCGGTTCAACACCATCTGCTGCCTTCCGCTCGTAGATGCGCTTCCTCTGGGTCGCATCACCTTCGCAACTTCGCTATCGATCTCTTTCTTTGCACTGAGCACGGAGGCTCTCTCTGTCTGCAGCTCCAGTTACTGGACGACATCGGCGTCGGAGGCAAGTATGCCATCTGACCTGAACAAATGCACTTGTTCTTTGTCTAGTGGCTTCACAAAGGCTGCTTCAGCTGTGGGACAGAACTTTGCCAGTCGCACCAATCATGTTCAGCTCCCAGGCACTTAACATGCTGCCTGTTCGTGTTTAGGAAAACTCCATGGCAAGCCCGAGCAATCGTGGAATCGTGGAAGACTTCCAGCTAAGCTCGCGACGTGTGCGCACGTGGAAGACCTTGTCAGTTCCTGTCCGGTCACTGGCATTGGCTTTAAGCCAACCCCGCCCCCGCCAGTCGTTCAGATAAGCCGTGCATACTTTACAACTCGCTCGGATCCCGATGATCTTGTGCCTGCAGTGATGATGCCGTTGTGGATAAGGTCCTGCGACAGACTCTGTCAGGTACTGACTGGGCAACTCACTTCCATCTTCGGAACTTTGAACTCAAGATAGCTCGCTCATACTGAGATCTACTCATACTGAGATGTAGCATCAAGAGAGACTTGACGCCTGACCTGGTTCGGGTTGTAGCTTGCCACCGCTCGCTTTGGAGCCCAGTTGCCCAACACTTGTGCAGGACCTGCAGGCCGTAGATTGCTGTAGGTGGGGTAGGGTGGGCGGGTCGGTGGGAATGTGGAGCAAGCACCATGGTGCACCACACAAAGCCGGTACCCACCAAAGCCTTGAAGCTCTTCAAACCGTTGTGCGGCCTACAGTCGTCGGAAGCGGAGCTGAGCAGTGCCGATGCTGGAAAGCACGGCCCGAGGCCTTGGAGCACGAGTGGCCACATATCAACATGCGATCCCCATGTTTTTTGCCTCTGCCTCTGCACGTTACACGTGGCCTGGATCAACGAAGACCTGTGCGCCTACGGCCTACGGCCCGAGTAGCAAGATCCTTGCCCAACCCTGCCTGGAACAAGGGAACCACCCGTCGCTCGTCAAAGACCACGATTGCGTCCCCAACGTGCCTTTGTTGGATTTTGCAACGACCCTCTGGAGCTTACATTTGCCGCACACCGCCGTTCCTACATGCTGCTCCTTTGGTGCTTTTGTGTCTTATCTTGGTGATGGATAGTTGGTGATCAGGTTGCGATTTCAGATGCAACGGCTGAGGAAAGACTACCGCTTGCTTGCATCTGCCCGTGACTCCACTTTGCATCCATGACTGATAAGCCGTCGTCCAGACTAAATGTCTGTCTCCAACCTTTTCCTCAAGAGCCCAATGCACGCTCGGATTGGGGAATAGGCACGTGGACGAAAGATGCTGCATGTTTTCGTGCCTTATGAGGGGGTCGGATGGCCTGATGAGAGCTTGCAGAAAGTTCGTGAACAGTTCATCTCTTTGGCTCTCCCTAACCCGAAAAAACACATTCAGAAGATGGAGGGCCGTGATGGCTCTCTCGTGGAGAAAGCTACCCAAATGGGAATGTCAAGCAAGCTGGGAACCCTGTGCATCTTCATCATCTTCCATGCGCCAGACCTAGATCTCCAGGCTGAAGTCTCGTGGGAGCATCCCGTCTTGACAGTCCCACCTCCTTCCTGTCGCAACACAGGCCAAGGATCTCGAAGGGTGTATATCGTCTAAGCCACCACTATACCCTGCTCGGCACCATGCTCTGAAGGCCAGCCCCGACGGCCGACGCATCTCATGTTGAAAGCTGCCCAGTGCGCGATGAATCGCTGATTATCCCTGCTTGTCAAAAACTGCGTGGGTGTGCACACGGCCCGGCCGTCAGGGAGATCCGCTGTTCTCTCAGTGCTGTGCGAGCTTCGTCTGAGCCGTTGCACCAAAGCGAACTGAGCAAACCCCGAATGCTCGAAGTATTACGAGCGAGAAACTGGGCCAGTGAATGTACACAACCTGAAAAGGAAGATGCCACCATGAAGTCAAGCAGCTTGATGGCCTGAGACTCAGCTTTGAGTTGATGGTTGCCAAGAGTCCTGCGACGGCGCATCTATATACTGTACTCAGCCTGGCCTAGCAGTGCTCGACAGAAGTTGACAACAGCAGCATGCATCGCTTGACTTATAAGAGTCCCCGTGCACGAATCACGAATGACGAACTTCCCGGGTCTTCTCTTTCCACAGTCCGGGCTGCACAGGACGGGACAGGGCCCACGCAAGTTGGGTGCCCCAAATTTTTGCAGAAAATCTGATATTCGACTGCGAGGACAGCTCCTGCTTGCTGCGAGGTGTTGAGAATCGTCCAGGACACCACCTGGCTTGGCATTTACTTCATTATTGTGGCTCGGCTTCGAATCATCCAACATGCTTGCTAGTTGCCAGCCCACTGAATGTGGTCAAACCGTTGTGTCGGCTGCTTGTGAGCTGCGGCTCACAGTCCCTTCAGCTGCCCTTCCGGGTCTCTGGCAAACAAGCATCTTGGGATCTGTGCAGAAGTTGGCGGACAGCCTGTGCACGAATGCCAGCGTAACGAGTTTCAGGGGAGTTCCGTCCTCTTGAATCTTCGCCTACTGATCGGCAGGTCTTTCGAACCTTCAGCCCAGCCTAGGATTCTGGAATCGCTAACCCGATAACCCGGCATATGCCTAGGATTCTGCAAGCCGGCAGTGTAGATCCCGCGACCGTGCACAGAGCCGTTGACAACTTTTAGCTCGTTGTCGCCTCGAGCAGAAGATGATGCAGCTCGAAACAAGCAAGCGGGTCCCAACAAACAAAAACCCTGCTTTTGAGCGAGTCCTTCGCCTTCAATTCTGCAATCACTTGCTCGCAGACTGTGCAACGCGATATTCCCATCGTTTGCAAACTGGATCTGTGCAGCGCAAGGACTTGTTTAAATGTCATGCGAGTGCAGGATGCTTCACTCCCCCGAATCAGGAAATATAAGCGAGAGAAACTGCTTTGACGGCGGCATGCGAAACCCCAAGCCAGGCTGAGCTACTGTTGATCTCTGATATCTCTGTGCGCATACCTTGAGTCTCTCCTTTCCACACGAGATTCCACGGAAGAGGTCCTGCCCAAGCCCGGACAGCACCTTCCTTCTTGCAGGAAGGGCACGGCCGGGAATCAGCAACCCACGTGAGCAGATCGAAGCATAGTTCCTCGCCGCTGTGCGGTTTTCTGAACGGGCCTTGCGTCTGCCTCGAGCCTTGAACAGCAGGCCTATCATCCCTTGCAAATGCCTATCATGGCAGAAGCTGTGCCGACCCCGTTCTTGATCGCTTTCGAGAAGCCCTACTCACTCTTGTGGTCTGGCTCCGGCAAGGATTCTCATTATTGGATTCTCGCGAGGCACACTGCTGCTGGGTGCCGCTTGCGGTCATCCCGCGAATTGTCTGTCGAGGAGCTCGGCTTGCGAGCCGTGGAAGGCTGGGAGCAGCGGATAGCCCTCGCACCTGTCCAATGGTACCGAACTCGAAAAAAACCCTGCCTGCCATGAGGTCCAATTCTGCAGAGCGGCATGGCATCCATGAAGCGCTCCTGGGCTGGGCCGCCGACCTTCGTAATTTTTTTCACCCATGGATCCGGTGAACGACAAACGGCCAATGGTCTCCGGCCTCGGCGTGCTTGATGCTGATCGGTCCATGGAAGACCGAAGAGAGCTGCTCCTGAAAACCGCTCAAAGGACTTGCGGGCCCGGCCAAGCTGAAGATAAGGGGACTCGCAGCAGGACAGCAAATGCGCGCCTTGATCTGGTGCCCGTGGGTCCTGACATTTGAAGCCGGCCGCTGCTGCCACGTCGTGCATTTCCACAACAGAACAGACGCAGATCCACAGCATGTGCGACACCCGTGCGCTCTGCGCTCCTCAGAAAGTCGTCTTGGAGGCGCTGAAAGCCTCTGCTCTCATTTTCCTTGGATCCTTGAGTTGCCACGGATGCGAGGGCCTTGTCCTGCGAGCATTGCTGAAGATGAGAAGAAATTCACTGGCTGAGCTCTGGCTGCACCCAAGTGGCCTCCTCCATCTCTTTCGCGAAGGGATGTTGGAGCTCCCAAGCTTGCGGCGGTCGGCGACGGATGAGAGCCTCGGAAGAGACTAGAGGAAGGCTGATGGCTCTGACACTACGAGCCGGATCTTGACAACTGTCGCAGCTGGGATGTTGAGACGGACATCTGCCGAGAAAGTGTGGGTCGCACCTGAACCTCTCTGCCGAAGACTGGCCGGAGTGCTGCGCGGTATCTCGGTGAGGCAATGCGAGACACGCTGGACCGCGCTGGCGCTAGCAGGACGGTGGATTGCGGAATTTGGAAAAGCACGCTCGATCAAGCTAAACAAATATTCTCATGTCCCAAACAACAACCTCATTCTTAGCCCACCAGACTAAATCCGAAGCACGCCAGTCTCTGAAGACTTGTTATCGGAGATGGACGAATGGGACAGGATGCAGCATGTTTCTCGAAGCTTCAGACTGCGATCGCAGAGACTTGAAGAGGGAACATGTCCGCACCCAAGACAGGGGGTTATCTCTGTCGTCCAGCGGCTTGCCGTGGCGATCCTCAGTAAGGCTCGCCGAAACTTGATGCAGATGCACTTCCCTCTTGGCGAGTTGCCAGATCCGCGCAGCGCTCCGCCCGCCCTGGGAGGCCTTCGGTGTACTCCACGAGCTCCTGCAAGGAGAAAACTTTCCCCGACAGGCCTCAACAGCCGAATGCATACGGGGCATCAGCTGTGCCATCCCTCTTCATTGCTCATTCTACTGGGCACCTCCGTGGCCGTGAGGGCTGGTTCCGATGGCCTTGAGCACAACAGGCACGGTAGAGAAGCAAGGGGCTCGGGTGCAACTCGTGGCCCGGCTGCCACTGCGCACAAATTCTCAATTCCATAATCATGTCTCAGATGTAACTATGAAGTGATTATGTCGACAACAAGAGGACTAATGACACTGTGTCTATGCTCATTATGCCAAATGCCACCCTCCAAGCACCGAACTCAGCCATCTCAAAACTCAATCAAAAACTTAGGGTTTAGGGTTTAGGGAAACCCAGTTCCAGTTGGGCCGGCTCGCAAATCCACCAAACGAACTAGCTCATGGACGCACTTCGTTTCGAGAAAGCGACAGGCACCTTTTTGTGGCAGTCTACATGTTTTGAGGCAAATGCACACAGTTTCACGACGGTGTTCTTCGGCGCCCGGCAAACATAGATGCATCAGGACAATCTGACCAGATTGGACCAGCTACCGGGTTGGAGCCGCAGTCTGAATCTTCCGGGGTGGCACGCGCAAGTTCCACGCCTCGGCTCAGCTCACAAATCAGGCCGTTGGCTAATTGCTACTCCGGTTTTTGTCTTTGCATCTCTTTGCGCCTGAGTGTATTCTTCTATTGTCATTTTAGGTTACATGCCTCTGTAGCCACAGGAGGTTGTTCAGTACTAACTGTCCGGAACTGAGACACAAACCCTTTGAACAAGTACATTTTGGAAAAAGAATAGGAATGCAGGGCTCTGCTTCTCAAGTACACTGAAATTTGTGGTTTCCACGCAGATATGAACAAAAGTGAAAAATTTCTTGCGAACATATCAAGGTCTGCTAACATTTACCCATTCGCTTGCTACTTTTCAACCATAAGAAGGAAACACTGATTAACCAAACAACACGTGAACAACATCAGATCTTGGTGCGAAATCCTTGGCCTCCGCACAGAAATACAGAACAGCACTGAATCGCCCTCACTTTGTGCGAGACTTGTAAGAATTGCTCAAACTTTCTACGTATGCTGAAACTTTCACTAGGACACGGAACAAAGGGTGAATCAATCTTAGGTCTCCACACAGCAACGAGCAACAAAACAGTGAGTTTTTGCTCATTTTCTGCGAAACTTGCGAGGTTTCCTCGAATTTGCTTCCCAATTAAAACTACGAATTCCCAAAACTTCGTCATGACATGGCGGCAATTAAAAACTACTGCGCCGGGCCGATAGTTCGACCCACTAGCTTGAACATTCTGGAGCAGCCTACTCCACCAAATCCCCACTCTCTTCCCCACAGACTCCTGGCACAAGTGTGCTTTGGGGCCTCCTCCGCAATGAATAAGCATTCTAAGTTTTTCAAGCGGAGTAGCAATTACTCGGCTAGCCGGCGTAGGGAATTCATCGCTCTCCAGCACTCAGCTACTATGCAAGAGTCTGTCGGGTGCTGAGAAGGCCCGGTAGCTCAAAACTTTCCGCCAAGGGATGCCTTCCGTGATCGTTTTTCAGTAGGGCGCATCTGTCTTGGGGATCAGGGTAGGAGTCTACGGGGGAAGGGTGGCTGACTGTACGGACATAGGATGCGACGAACGTTTAGAGAAGATGAACTCCAACTTCGAAGGTGTGCCACGTGTGAACATCGCGGCTCGGTCAAGAATATACTCCAGGATGCCATTACCGAATAGGGCGGCACGATACTAGCATGCGTGTCACTAGGATTGCGAAAGGACGGGACTCTGGCCACCAAAATGCATGCTGCGCCGGACCGATAGTTCGGCCCACTAGCCTGAACATGCTAAAGCTGCTAAAGCAGCCGACTCCACCTGATCTCCACCCTCTTCCCCGAAGACTCCTGACACCAGTGTGCTTTGCGGCCTCCTCCGCCACGAAGAAGTCCCATAGTTTTACAACGGCGTGGTAGCGTAGTCATTACTCTGCTAGCCGGAATAGGGCATTCATCGCTTTCAAGCACTCCGTTCCTCCGCAAGATTGAACAGCTCCGCAGCTCAATGCTTTCGGCCCGAGATTGTCGTGTGTCGGTGCGAAGTCTTAGGTCTCCATGCAGAAGTGAAGATCAACACTGCATCTATTGTTGTTCTGGTGAACATTGCGATGATGTCCTGTGTTTTCCCATGTTACATTAAAGCAAGTTTTCCTATTTTACATGAAATCAAGTTTTCCCGAAGAGGAAGCAATGCCTCTTTTGGAACTTCCGACCAGTGTGCCGTGGCGACGTCAGATTCACTGTAAGCTTCATGCTTGGGCGCTGTTGAGCTTTTAAGATTTTAAAACTCTGGTTCTTAGGCTACTCGGCTACTCTGCCATGTGCATGGGGTGCTTCCTCCAGTCCTGTGTGTGTTTTGGCCATTCGTCCGACTTGAGTTCCGTCTGCCGTCTCTATTGAGTTCAGACGGCACAGTCCGTTTCCTACAGCCGAAATCCCTATGCAAAGCAGCAGCATTCGGCACCGGTATAAAAGAAGCAGTCCGGACGGTTTCGTCCTGCTCGGCTACAGAACAGAGACAGGACGAGAACCAGAACCGGAGGCGGTGAGAGCTCCAGCTATAGATACTCCGGCTGTAAAAACCCGCCCGTAAGTCCAGGGGTAGGCCGCTAGGCCGGAGATCCGATAGTCGAGGCGGACAACGGAGGCGGGACAGAAAAACTGCGGAAACAGGAGCCCCCCGCTCGAGCCGATGTCTCGCGGCGACGGCCGTTTCGTGCCTTTCTAAACACATCCGATCTGGCTCGGTACCGGAACAAACTCTGCGCACAAGATCATGTACGCTGCTTCCAGCTGGTAGCCATTTGGCGGGAGCGTTCACTGTCCGGGACGATGCGACACTATGGTCTCCGCGCGCTGTGCGAAAGGAACATGCCCAAAGCAGTACTTGAGAGCTCTGCAGCCGTGATGCCCCTAACGTTTTGTGATCAGCTTGAGAACACAGAGTCTTGAAGGAAAGTGCAGCACATCAAAGGCTCTCGAGCTTCAGAAATGGTAACCCAGAGCTTAGGGACAGTACAGCTCTTCAGGGACCGTTCCTCCCATGAGCATCCACACCTTCGCTCTTGCTTGCACTCCTTCTTTGTTCACTTCTTCCTTTCATGCTTCCTTCCTTTCTTATTTCCGTCCAGCCCCATCCTTCCTTCGCTTCCTTCTCATTCAGCTGCGGGTTGCTATCGCCCACTTCCTGGCGCACCCCCACTCTTCCCGAGGGCGGAGCCTGGAGAGGGATGTAAGCCTTCTGCGCCCGCTGCCTGGCCGCCCCAATCCTTTGGCTTGCTCTTGGCTCTGCGCCTAGTAACTAGGCTGGTGGACTCAGACGGTTTCACTTGCAACCAGCTAGAAGCACCCGACATGGTTTTCGGCACTCCTCACAGATGCTAGGCGACTCATGCACATCTCCTACATACGATTCTTTGTACATTCTTTGGCAGAATGCCGAGTGGCTCGACCTTGGTGCCAGGCACGGTGACAGTTCGCACCAGCGGTGCGTAGGCGAAGACTGGCAAGTTGCAGCTCACGACACGGCATTGATGCGGTTCTACACAACATCGCAACTTCGGCAGGCCAAACACACACGAACTCCAGCGGCCTTTGCTGGGAACAGCACCGGGCATCCCTGCAGGCGGCTGCACAGTGGAGGCTCTGGGAAGCGCGGCCTGCTTCAAAGTTTGCAGAAAAGCCAACCGAGCTCAAGCACCCGAAGCGGCGATCGAGTCGCTTGCTTTCAACGCCTTCCCGCACCCGATAGCAAGACCTTGCTGCGAGCTGGTTCTTTTGCCGGCGCCAGTGCTGGCGGTGGCACTGGCGACGCCTGGGGATACAGGATGGTGAGAGTCTGCAGCCCTGCTTTTGACCCAGTCTCTATGAAAGTATCAAAGATTAACTGGGAACTTCTGAAACCCCAAATTCGAGATCAGTGCTGAGCCGAACCTTCTTGTTCTTGGCTTTGAGAGCAGACGCCCTGCGTGCTGCAGTGTATTGCTGCTTCGCCTTGCCGAAACAGCAAACAGTCTCTCTCACAAGCGTCGGGAAGACAACCGTGTTTGGAGCTCTGCACTCCCTCGCTTGTGCTTGACGGATTCTGAACTTCCTGCATGCGATGGCGATGTCGCAACCACTAAGCTTCACCCAAGGAACGTTCGCGCAATCCTGATGCCAGAAGAGCTTGCACGTGTTGCAGCAGTTCCTGGTGCAGCTGATGGCAGACAGTTTCGAGTCTGACATCTTCCAAGAACCCTTGTAAAGCCAGGTGTCACGTGAGCTTCACGAAGAATCGGCAGGCGGCAGCTGACGCAGGAGTACTGGCACTCCTGAGCTGCCGCAATTTCGTGATGTTCAAGACAAGTAGCCCAACCCTAAAACTGTCACACTGCACATCACTGCACAGCGCAAGATAAGAACTCTACAAGCTCTTGTGCAATATCCCGACAGTCCCGGCACAACTCCTGGTGCGACTTTGACACGACAAACATTCGCTAATCAGTTTAGGAACATCCATCCCTGAGCGCACCTTCTGCTTCCATTTGATGTCACAGCGGTCGCGAATCTTCCATACTATGTCTTGTCGCATTTCTTACATACACGTTTTCGAGATTCTCGTGAGGACCGACCGTTTCCCGGTCGCTTCACGCAGACTGGACTGGAAGCAAAGGAATATCGATGTAAGGAAATCGACTCTCTCGCCAAAATGGCCACGAGGTTGATGCATGCATGAATCGAAATGTTCAAACCCGACCAGTCGAACGCACGAAACGCTTTCGCTGTCACTTCGAACAAAAAAGTGTTCTAGACAGCATGAACGAGTACAGAGACCGGAAAGGAGAGCAGAAGGAACCCTGACCTCTAAGGCTCCCCTTCCCCTCAAGGCCTTTTTCGCAAGCTCTTTGTTGCTCTTGACTCCTTTCCTTTGCTTGTTATATGGGTGGTTGTCAATCTTAGGGTCCCTTTCTGGGTCCCTATTACAATACGGCACCTAATGTTTAGGGTACCCAAAAAGGGAAAATAATTTTGACAACCACCCATATCGCTATTGGGATGGTAACGCATTCAGCCAACGCCAATGTCTCACGGTACTCATACTTGCAAACAAAGGCAAACCTAGATCTAGATATGCTGATCAGATACAAGAATAGTCACCAGGGAGACCATCGAGGCAAATGGCTACAGGAGTACCACATTTATGTCTCTGCAAAAGAAAACATGTACGTATGAACAACGCATGACATACACAAGTAGTAGCTGGAGATTTCATGTGTGTGTGTGTGTGTGTGTCTATGCTTCTGCGATCTTCCGTGTGCCTGTGGTCAATCGATGTATTCAGGTGCGACGATTTGCAAACCACCCGAGGTGAAGCCGTGATAGCCGCACGGTCACATGACGAGGCTCATTCCATTTGCGACCCCAACCTTCGTGCTGGGACGCGATGGTCACCTGAAGTATGCACTAAAGCTGAATTTCTCAGGACCTGCCTCGGAGCCTCAAGACATCACTTTCCGCTGTGTCGGCTCGCGCGCAGGACGAGCTTTTACAGCTTGCGGCTGAGAAGCTGCTTGCAGTACGGCCTCCTGCAGCTTGGTTGCTTCAATTTGAACAATCTTCGTGACAGCAGGACAACTTGACTTTGTGATTTAAGCCCCGGTCCAAGCCTGCTTGGCACAGCGCACGCACGGAATCATCGGCGCCGTGCGGTGCACCGCAGCTCTGCGGAAAATGGGTGCAGGCGTTGCGCACGCCTTCACCTTCGCCGCCTGCTGTGTCGGCGCCTTCTCGGCTGCTTTCCTTGGCCATCTCGCAGTGGAAACTTAAACAGTGCTCAGGACAGCCAATACCGTCAGAGCCAAGGTTCGCGTTCAGGGTGGTCGCCACCTGCCCCCAGCTGCGCCAGTCTTGACCGCTGTTGTCAGATTCTACGTCGATGATGTTCTGCAACTCTCATTATGAGTGAAATGGCAGAAGCTGCGTCGGGCTGCTGCTGCTAGATGCCAACTAGGTCTTGTTGGTTGGCACTGAGTCCGGATGGCTTGCGAAAGCGTTGTCTTTGTCCAGGTTCGAGGTGCCACGGAGCAGACTCCCTCTGAGGCTCCGAAAATGAATGATCTGTTGCTCAATGAAGTCCGAACCACCCGAGCGTATGTTTCAATTGTGTGTACTGTCTGTCAATATGAGCCAGGCTGCCTCCCGATAGCGAGCGAAGAGACGAGAGGCCTCTTCCTGTGGCAACAATCCAATGTTGCGGCTTTCATGAAACCTTGCAGGTGGGGCAGGATTTGCGACGGGGTCCCTGTACCGCCAAACCTGCGCATGATGTTCTCACTTCCGCAGCTCGCGCCTGCGAAAGGCCCAGGCTCACGCACATCTCGGGCGCATGCCTCGCAATCTAACTGTCGTGCCCACCAAAGTGCGCAACTGCAAGCTTTGCATGGCAAATCTTCCAAATCCCCAGTGTCTCATGTCATGAAATTTCTTTCATTCTCCTTCGTTTCTTTCTTTGGGCGCGCTTGTGACAGTGTGCTAACAACCCATGGTACCTGGGAGCGGTCAAGGCTTCACTGTCGAACTCCAGGACCTCGCGGACAAAACCTGGATCTTCATCCAAGAAACTACCCTGTCCAAGCCCTTGTCCGGGTCGGGGACATTCAACATACTTTTGGCCATGAGCGCCCTCCCCCGACACACCGACGCTCCAGGTGGGGGAGTCTGGGGGAATACATGGAAGACATAATTTATAGTGTGTGATGGGGAGACGGCATCATGTGTTTGGGTGGTGAAACTGGTAGCCCCGACCGGTGCCATCTCAGTAACACCCCCGCCCCACCCCTGTAGAGCCTGCGGCAACCTCCTCCAGACTCCGACTTCGAGCAAACTTCGAGGTCTCTGAAGTCTCGCGTGCTTGCCTTTGCGCACGGGTCTGTCGTTATTTCGGTCTGTCGAACAGGTTGTTTCCCGCGCTCTCTCCCGCCCTCCGCTCTGGTGACCTGCAAGCCCGATGTCGGCAAAACAAAATGAATAGTCTATGTGTTAGGGCCTATATTACCTGTGTGAAAGACTTCTAAAGCCTGCCTCCTGGCAATCTTCCCCGTGGTGAAACATAAAACCCTCACTCCCTCTGCCGGGGGACTGGATCAGCTCCTCCAAAAACGCGGCGCCCTGCTCCTCGGAACAGACTGGCAGACCGTTCGAGACTTTGTGGAGTTCGCTGATTTGGCCCGGGCCTCGGCCCAGGCTTCAATGCGGGGGCGGAGGCCGGCCAGGTCTGGGCCAAGGCAGGCGCTGAGGCCTCCCAAGCCCAAAGCAGAAGGCACCGAGGAGGCGTTTTTAGCCTAGGCCTACGGCCTACGCTTCGGGTTTGGACCTGGCCTTCGATGACTTCCTCAGAGGAACGGGCGGCCTCGGCCTTCACCCAAACTGTGAGTTGCAGCCTGTGCCTACAGTACTTTTTGAGCGGAGCGCCTGGCCTCCAGAGAGAAAGGCTGCTCCGAAGCTGAATTCGCACCTTGGGCTCACAGAACTGGAACGGTCTGTGCGGCGCCAAAGCTCCGGCGGCCAGGCTCAGGCTTGTCATGCCTCGTCCCCTCTCCATGGATGCCATGTCTCTTCATCTTTTCTTGCTTTGGCAACCGTGCATGGTGCATGGACACCGAGTCTTGCATGTCGCCTCTCTTTGGTCGCAAACTCTCGGGTGTGCGTTCAGGTCACCGGGGCCTGCAGTTCAACAAAATGTGAAACTTCATGTGTCGACCACGAGATAGCGGCATGTCGTATATTAAGTGAAATCAAAATCGTCTCAGCAGGATCGGCTACCGCACCCATCTTGCTATGGGCATGCCACCAGCTAACTGCTTCGAGAGACTGGGAATTTCTGCGCATTGCTGCCGCTCGTGCATTCGGAATGCCTATCCCCGTCGTCGCGCCTACAGTTCTCATCCAAGATCGCGGAGCAAACCTACGAGTTAAGTTCGCTGCTTGCACGATTTTGCCTTGCACGGGCGGCAGCAACTCCCTAAAACCACGGCGGTGCTGCCGTGAAAGGCGTCAAAAAACACTACACACACAGACACAACCACCGTCCGAAGTTCGTTCCTGCTTATGGACTGATGTCATTGCGATCAGAGTCTCGCAAGGAGCACACTTCGACGGAGCCGTGCAGCGCACACCGGAAGAGTCGGGAACTTCAGTATCCTCCAACGGCCTGCGGCCATTCTGGAGTTCCCAGTCTGTGCGCAGAATTTTGTGCACTTCCTGACAGGTTTTCCGCGTCTGAGCCATTCAACCTCTGTCCCGTGAGCGAGAAATGCTGCGGTCCTAGGCATGCTGCTGCAGCCTAACAGCCACGAGGAGACTTTGTGGAGGGTGAGGTATCCATCTTAGACTCTAGGTAGACCCTGTCTAGGAAAAGCACACGAGCCCCCAGCATCCTTGTTCAAGGGCTTCGCAACGCTTCTCGAGCATGGGAGCATCGACCAGGCAAACAAATGGCAAGGTGGCAACCCCTGAATCTAGGAATCTGGGCAGAGATTCTTTCCCCCGGGTGTTCGTGCTCCGTGCCCCCGACGGCAAGGATGAGCTGCTGAGCTCTACGGATCGGTAATGGCAGGGACAGGCCACTACGCACGTGGCCTTGTTTCTACGAATAGATGCCCCCTCTGCCACGGCGATGTGGCTACAGAAAGCTCCAACGACTGTGTAGCTTGCGGGCATCTATTTGGCAGGCAACATGCAAATTGTACATGTGCGACGACCAAACAGCGAGGTTAGTTTGACTGAGAACTGAGGCCTATGTCCGTTTGGTCGAATGAAACGGCTTCAACTGAAGCCCAGGTCATTCAATAGCTATCAGAATCAGGGCATCGTTTCGAGCGTAAAGCTGAAGCCCCAAGCTCGGAGAAGAATGTAAACGCTATCGAGGCACGCGACAGTGAAGGCCCGTGTGGAACCTAAGCAAGGGCCTTAGTGCTGAGCAGTTGCAATTAGGCACGGTCCTTCTAGCCTCTTCAAATAACATCGAACGTCAACCGCCGCTGTACAAAGACTGTGCCCAGTCGGTGATTACGTGCCAACACCCCTGGCGAATCTGCCGGGCAGAGTCTTTCAGCATGTTGACGCGATGGAACGGGCTTGTCATGTTGCACACGAGAAGCAACACGACAAGCAAGCTGTTTTCATCACATTGCAAGCCGCTTTCGGCTCGGGGGCTGCTTCAAGCTTCGCTCCGATTGTGAACGTGCGACTTTGGATCTGGAGTTGGCTCTCGAATTCACCCCTTCTAGATTCGAACGAGCCCATATCATGTGGACCTTGCTCTCCCTAGAGTAAGCACAGCGTAGAGAAGAGATGCAAGGTGCAATAGGCGACAACCTGCAAATGGCGGTGGCCCGTGACAAACAGACCTCTAAAGCCTCTAAGACACCGCACTCCATGTCGTGAAAATCAGATCGTGTTGAAGGTCGGGACTTCGACAGGGGATGCGAATCGAAAACTCCGAACCCCGTCTGCACGCTGCTTCCAAGCAGAGCAGCAAAGCAGCCGACTGCTTTAGAGCAACAGCCGGGTAAACGGTTAAACCATCGACCCTTCCTGCGAGGGTGACGATGCGCATCATGAACAAATACGAGTATCTGGCCTACATCGCTTGCATCGATTGCCTGTCCCACCTTATCACTTGGTATCGCAGGTTTCCTGCAATGCTCGAAGAATCGCATCAGCGTGTGTTGGATCTGCCTGCAACGAACTGGAATCGCTGTCGTCTCATCGCAAGGAGATGCCATGCAGACGTGTCCCTTGTCTTGTGGTAGGCCCGGGCCCCAGCGTCCCGCCTTCGTGAGGGACAAGACCAGCAGCTCCTCATGGAGACTTTCATGCAAAGGACTTGATGCTGGAAACTTTAAAAAGATTTCGGTCACCTCCAGAGAAAGCTGGCGGAGGGTTGAATGAAGTCGTCGCTGTACACGGCCTGAAGCTCAGGGTCAGCTGGCATTGAAAAAACCGATCGATCGCAATGGGCTCCTTTTGAGGGGAAGTGCATGATGTCTGAAGTCTCGGAAGAATCGGAAATGTCCGGACGTTTTGCCACTCCGAACACTGTTGGCCAATGAATCTCCATCTTTCTGATTCTGACTTGCCTCGTGATGAAGGCAAATCTGCCGTCTCGCACTTTACGCTCATATCTATGGATTGTTCATGCGGGCTGAACTGTCGAAGTGCCACTGAGTATTCCGGTATGTTGACAGACTCGTCGCTTGCCTCACTAAGGTCCTTCCTTGCGCATTGATTCATGATTAAGTCTTAGTCTTAAGCAAAGCTTCAAGGGTGGGGCGTTCATTGCGTTCGTCATTTGGCTGGGAGTTGAAGCGGACTGGATGCTGTGACAAGGCGCGTGGGACCATCGGGCAAAGGCCGAGATCCACCAAATGAGCTCCCCGCGCCTGGTGAGTGTAAGTCGTTTAATGGGCCTTCAATCATGAACTTATGCTGCCTCTCCCAACCCTCGACAAATCTGCAAGCAGCAATCAGATTCGCGGGTATTCGAGCCAGGCCCTGTCTAAAAAGTACAAACACGGAGGCCTTGAACGCTTTCTACATTTAGCTGTTAACCTCAGTCTGCAAAACCGCACATGAAGACGATTCTTACATCCGCAACCTTTCTTTGGAATTTTGTGCATCCACCTCATACAGATACGGTTGAACAGCCTCGGTACGACACAGTGACTTCAAAGCCTGAACAACGAAGGCCGTGAAGAGAACTGAGATTCCGAGTCCTCACCACGTTCTTCCGACGTGGTGGGGGAGACCCCCACCACGTCCCTTAAACAGCCTTAGTTAATTTCAGGTTTGGGCTGAAATAGTTTGGACCTTAGGTGTCAAGAAGTCAGTTGAAATTTCAATGACGTGGATCTTCGGGGGAGGTAAGGTCGGATTGCTGACACAAGCTGCAGTCGGAGTCTGCAATCGTTTTTTGTCGTGCAGCTGTCTGGGCTGATTCCCCCGTGTATGTGTCCCCTTTGTACAAATCCGAACTGCAAAGTGCAGCTTTGATCCCCATTTCCCTGCTGGCAAAAAGCTGTCAAGGTTTAAAGCCTTGTGAGTGGCCGTGAACATATCTCACTGTGGAAGGTCGGGAGGTGCTTCCACATTGCCTCCGCACAGAAACTTCAAGAATTTATGTCATTCGAGACGCGGGCAAACTTACTGTTCACCTTGTGTGAGAACTCTCGGCTGGAGCCATCGAACTTTTTCTGGAAGTACCTCAAAGAGAGACTTGTGGTTCGTTTAAGGGGCTGCAAGCTTCAGGGCTAGTAAGGCTTCTGAGCCGTGGGCTGCAAGGCGCAACCCGTTCCCCCCGACTGTTCGTATAGTCTGCGAGTACCCAAGGCACCCCGTAAAGCACAAATGTAGGGCGTGCTTTACGGGGGTTTGGGTGAGTTGGACAAAACCCCCACCCACCACAACCAATTCCCGCGGAGGTACTTCCAGAAAAAGTTCGATGGCTCCAGCCGGAGAGTTCTCACACAAGGTGTACAGTAAGTTTTCCAGCATTGCGCCGGGCCCGCGCCTAGAACGACATAAATTCTTTAAGTTTCTGTGCGGAGGCAATGTGGAAGCACCTCCCGACCTTCCACAGTCGAATTTTCTTGATACAGATACTTTTATGCCATGCCTCACCATGTCATTTTAGTGTACACCTGTACATGTCAAAGAAAATACACGTTTGAGCCATTTTGAGCCAGCTTTCTCGAACGAGGTTCTTGCTATGGCTCAGCTGCTTGTCTGCCCCGTTATCCTGAAATTATTTCGGCAACACCTACGTCCAAGGTTCAGGCCAAAGTCGACGCTGCAATATTTCAGGACCCCTCCCCCACGTCCCCATTTCAATGCTTAAGGGGATGGTGATTCCGAGTCAAGGCATCGTATATGCTTTTGTTGTCGGTGATTCAAGCACCCTTGGTATCGACACGAAGGCCGGGCTCCAGGTTCTCGTGAGTGACCCTGCCGCCGTTGAGCTCAAACCAAACACGACGAAGAAGAAAGCAAGCGGTGCTCTGCTGCTTCCCAAGCCACCATGGCAAGTTTTGCCCCCTCCCCGTCCTGACGAGTTTGTTAACCTTAGAGTTCCAACTGTAGCTATCGAGATTTTGGAAAGAAGCAGCCTTCGCCCGGAACTGCAAAACAGTTTGCGTCGCCTTCTATGCAATGGTGTCCAGCCCCACAAAACGATGCAATCTTTTCCTTCGACGCTGGGACCTTCAATTGACCCAGCCGCAGCTTGGATACAGGAACTTCTTTGATGCACTCCTGGATGTAATTATTCTTCTTGATCGACCACAATCCTTTCGAGGAGCCTGCCTAATGAAGCACCCCGCAGATGTAAAACTTCAGTGCCTCAGGACTGTGCCCTCGCTAAGCCTTGCATGCAATCAAGAAATCATCAACAAGTTGCCCGTCAACCGCCAGCCGTCAAGCCGACAGGACGATCACGACACTTTCGTGCCAGACCCGCGGGGCATGAACTAAGCCGAATAAGGCTTTACAAGTTTCAACACCGCTCCAGGATCCGCAAGATTCCCCCCCAACATCCCGGCCAGCTCTTCCAGGTTGCCGAGACTCTGCCGTGCGGACATCACTTTTTGGCACCAGTTAAAGTCACATAACTCTTGGCTTGTCAAGCAGCGAACTGCTACTTCTCGGACCACGTGGGACACTTCTCGAACTCTTTCTTCTTCTCATTAGAGATTTCTCGGACAGCTTCTGGGACAACCAACCAGATGTCTTTCTGGGCTTCTCCACCAACTTCTTGTGGTCTTTTTCCTGAAAGGAAATCTCCCACGCAAAGCCGCAAAGCCTAGGAATTAGTCTTTACTGTGCAGCGTCTTTAAGTTCACACGCGTATTCTTGCATTCAGAACCTCCGGTCCGACTCAGACGTGGAGAAATGCGCAGCGTGTGCGTGTTCCTCAGACCAGCAGGAAGCGGAGTGTCAGGCTCCATCGTCGTCCAGTTCTGGATCTGGCGGCTCTCCCGTAACAGGTGGAGAGTGCCCAGACGACCAGGAGAGGATTGCCGTTCTGGTAAAGGAGCTGGTGTTTTCGGAGGGGAAGCTTGCTTGTCTTTCCTCCAAAGAGAAGCTTGTCGTGCGCCCCCTGAAATTTTGTCTCTCCTCGCCACCTCATGGCCGAGGATCCGCGCGGAAGTCGTCATTGTTGATCCTGGGCCCTTTGCATTATGGTCCTCCGCTTGCCGGTGAGCTGATCTTCGGGAAGCGGGAGGTCCTTATTCTCTTCCAACCCGTCACCAAGAGTCTCGGCACTGGCACCCGGAAATGTTTCCTTTGCCCTGTAAACGTGCAGGTATCTAACCCAACGGCCGTTTAATGTAGCAGTTGAATGGTGGCCACAAACTGTTCACGGACGGAGCTGGTTGAGCTTGGCTCTGACTAACACAGACACAGTTGCCGGTACGTCCCACTTCAATTGTTTCTTCGATGCCGAGCAAGCAATGTGCCTCTGCTGGCGCAACCAGCAGTCCGGCTCCTAAATGGGCAGCAAGCTCCAATGATCTCGCGGTTCCTGAATACGCCGCTCGTATTATGCGCGGCGCTATGTTCCCAGTTTTAATTCGGCCGTCAGCTTGGACCTCGGCCACTGTGGGCCCAATACTGGCCCTGAAGGGACATCCCGTTGACTCCCAACAGTCCGCTGTCTGTATTCAATTCAGAAGTGTCGTCGTAGTTCATCATTGGGCGGTAAAGTAAGTCACCCCAGCTTGGCCCGCTCCGCTCTGAGTGCCGGCTCAACACTAACACCATCATCTGCCCGATCCACGCCCGGGCCGCGTTCCTCCATGTAAATCTGCAGCGCTACCTTTCGGGGCTTCTGCAACTTCCTTTCATCACCGCCTCGGTAACCACGTCCACATTCATCAGACAGGCCCTTGCTTCCGAGTCGCAGTGAGTGGGATGCTGCAACGGCCAGAACGGCGCGGCTCACGGAAGGTGCAGCTGTGCTAAGCAGACTGTTAAGCTCCCAAGCCTGTGGCCACGACGGTTGCACCATTTCGTTCTCCTGCGACCCATGCTGCAACGCTAAACACTCTTGCCAGCACCTCCAGAATGGCACAGACCATCAGAAGCATCATCAACATGTAGCAAACAAGGTTCATCAGGAGTCGGGGATTCATGAGGTTCAAGCCTATTATGACTTGCTTACCCGCGCAATCACACTCGCACGCACAGTTCAGACCCGGTCCATGTACTTTTCCAACTGTGCCGAGGACTTCTGCAGCTCGTCCACGGCACCCACGGACAGCAAATCCAAAAGACTCGGGGAATCGGTAGGGAGAATCACTTTGTATTGTGTTTCTGCTTGCTGCCGAAGCCCACTTAGGTCGGTCAGCTCACCCAGCACAGAGAGCAAAAGAGGTGCCCGACAGCTTGGACTGCCGGTCACGAATCCACAAACACATGTGGTCATAGGAAACTATACTGTGCTGGTCCTCGCTCCTTTCACCAACATGTTGCCAATCAGGGCCGGCACGCTCCGGGCCTAACTGTCTGCGGCCGAGCATGTCCATCTAACACAGAAGGAGATGTCTCCCAGTCTCCCAAAGTCGATCACACAGAGTGACACGCGACGAAGATGGCCTCAAAGATAAGCGTAGAAGCAAAAGCGGGTAGCCGGCGCGGTGCTCGTGAAGCCAGCCCAAGGCTCAATGGGGTCATCTTGATCGTGCCGGAGGTCTCGCGGTCGCCAAGCGATCTCCTGGGACCTAACACAGGGTCCCATAATCTGAAGAGCCATAGGTCTGGAGATTACAGGTCATCCGGGCAAGACCATGAGCTTAAGTCATTCGCCGAGCTGCCAGCGGCCCAATATGCCTTCCTGGGCCTATATCAAGCAGCCAGCACCAGATTGAGAAGAGTTCCAGGAAACTTACCGGAAGACCCATTTTTCAACTTGCCGCCACTGGTGCTCTTGCTTGAAGCCGGTGGTGCTCCTCCTTCCATTCTACCGCCTCAGCGGAAATACACCCTTATGGCCGGCAGCGAGTTTTGCAGGGACGAGCCTCTTGGTATCAGCCAGCGGCTTGTAGAGCTTGAGCTTTTCCTCCTGAGTTCGACCAAGCACTTTCACAGGCGGTGGCGGAAAGCTGTGGGTGTTAGCAGTACACCCTCAAGCACAATCTCCTTGCTCGCGCGAGGACGAACCAAAGTGATGTGCAGCTGTCTGAATCGAGTGTCTTCCCGGACAATAATCTCCGGGATGGTCTTACCGAAAGCAGCGCAAGGGCTCCGCTTGGAGAACGAATCCGGAATTGGAGTGGCTCCAAGTGCTTGCAGCAACTTGTCCAAGCCACCTGCCGTGTCGAACTCGCAAGCCTCGTCGATCTTTCACCTTTTTCAAGGTTTTCTCATACCACCTGGAAGCAGTTCCATTCCCCGGTCCCCGTTCCACGAAGGCACATCGGCGGAACAGTCCTTGCGCATCTCGCTCAGCTCCGCTAGCATTCTCGAGCTAGCAGGCCCTGTCTAAAAGGTTCAGGCACGGAAGCCCCGTGCAAACGCTCTTCTTCCCCTAATTAGCTCAGTCTCGAGGAACAGTCACTGCATGCCAAACCTCACATGAAGACTGGCCACCACCGTTTCCATTTTGCAACCCTTAAGATTCAGGAGGAAGGAAGACAAGCTTGCATCTTGGGTGCTCCCATTCAGGACCGCTGCCTGGCCTGGATTATCAGCAGAAGCTTCGTAGGATTGCGAAGTGTGCGTGCTCTGAGCACCTGAGCTGTTGAACTACGCCGTTGTGCAAGGATATGGCGACACGTCTCGATAGGACGGACCACAGGTCAACGACATTTGGATGTCAGCACTGACTGAGAAAGACGACGGACACAGAACCAGTTCATACTACGTCAAACCTCAGCAGCTACCATTATCATGTTGCCTAACCCTGCTTACAAAGTCAATAAAGCCCACAAATTTGTCTGGGTATTGGGCTTGTAGGGGTTAGGGTCGATCTGTGCTCAGGCCTTTAAGCTTTGCTGGTGAGCTGCTGCGGGCTCGAGACTGGGAAACCTAAGTTTCTCTTCTCGGCATGAGATTTCTAGGTTTAGATGATCTTTTTCACGCAGGCTCTCAGCTTCAGGGTCCGGGATTTAGGGGCCTGGGCTCTGGAGCTTTGGAGAAGGCGAGAGACATAGGCGGTAACCGTCACAAAACAAGAAGAGCCCACGTCACGGAAACCCGGCCAATAAGTAACCACTAAAGCAAACCCCAAACATGGAAAACGCCTCAAGAGGCTGAGAAAGAAACGTTCGGCTGAGCCCCTGAGCCCAGTAGCCAAGTGAGGAGTGAGCAAGGCCAGCTGCTGAATCTCCGTGAGGCGGTCGAAATTCATTCCTCTGAGTTCAGCTCCGCGCAAAGCTCCGTTCAAGCGAACTTAAACGCGCCTTGCATCTGCTTCAGGACGCCCGGCTTCAAAGAGTCGAGGGTGCTCTGACCTTCCAGCTACTCGTGCTCCGAAAGTCAATGGTTCTGCAAGGTGCAAGAGTCAAACGGAGCGACGGCCGGAATGCGAAGATCAGACGAGAACCGCCCACCCCAACCAAATCTTCCCGAGTTGGCCTGCGCAGTCCACATCGGAGTCCGTCTGAAAGGACCCCTCAGCAGGCAACAGTGCTGCACACATGTCCCCAGCCCCCGTACCTCACTTTGAGGGCAGTTGCAACAACTTTGAGGGCAGTTGCAACAACTTCTCGCTGATTCCATCTGAGGTCGCTTAATGGCTTAACTCGCGGTGTCTTCTCCCAGTCATCGAACCCAAGCCTGGTTTGCAGGTGAGCGGTCGCTGCGCCACTTCCCCATGTCTCAAAAACCGCCAAGCGTCGACACGAGACTCCCGAGTCATCGGAGTTGGAGCCGCCATAGCGATGTTCGGCCGGGCTGGAGCCACGTGTCTGCGGAATCTGCCATGATCCAGCAAGCGTCAATGTGAAGCTGTGCATCGGAGCCCGAGCTGCCAGCCTGTGCTAAGAGAACGGGCAGGAGGGTAGAAAAGACGCCTTTTGCACGGCTCTCATCTCCACTGCTTTAACGCTGAAACTGCTCAGGTCGGCCTGGATAGCGGGGGGGCCGTGATGGTTCGAAACATAGTCGGCCTGCCAGCAAGTGCTCAAGCGGCATGGGCTTCGAAGATCAACCCGCATCAATTGCGGCCCGCCTGGCGACACACAGCATCGTAGCAGATGTCACGGTATGATGTAGTTGAGCGGTTCTACAGTGCGCGCAAGCGGATCTGTCCTAAACTGGCGTCCCTTACGCTTGCATAACTCTGCTAAGTTTCTAGGGGCTGTGATGCGAAGCAGCTGTTCGACGAGCCGAAAAACATCGCGGTCGAATGAGTACATCAAAGCCGAAAGACCTTGATGTCAGTCTTCTACAACGTACACTTTCAGGAAACTTGACGGAACATGTGACCGGAAACTCGAATGCGGCCTTCACTGCTGCAAGTGGCACATCAGACGAACCCAACATGGCTAGAATCTCAGTGCTGCGAGTGGGCACAGTCTCAATTGGCTGGCCGGCATCTCTGCCATGTTTTGGGGCCCCTGCGTAATTGATCCCAGAAGGGCGCAATAAATCTGCCGCAAAGCGCGTTGTAAGTGTCTCTTTAGTTCCGGGCTTAGAGGGATCGGAGAGAAGTCCGCTCATAACATAGTTCAAACTCCCGCAGACTGATTGGGGAGGCCGCAAGGCTCAGGTGGACTCTGGGATGACTGTAGGTGGTCAGCATGTCTTTCCTGCTTGTTCTCAGTTTTGCGGACATGCCCGAGTGCTTTAATCATGTGTTCACTTGCCCATCTGATTGCTGTTGGCTTCAGTTTGTGCAGGCGTTGATATCCCTGGGCAATGATCTTAACGCTGGACAAGGGGATCAATTCCCAGAGAAAGCCTTGATATTCTCTGCCAGCTTGTCTAGCATCCACCTGAGGTGAGTCGGGAGACACATGAAGGACTCCAAAGCCGCACCGGTGACATCCCTCCGTCAAGGAACGCTGAAAACACAGAGCCCCCACTGAGAAAGCCACTCGCCAACAGGCTTGGTGGCATCGATGTGACCTGGCCATCAGATGGGTGCAAGACTGTGCTACCCCGCCTGGCGTCAGAAAACGTGACAGCCACCTTTAGCAAAATCCTCCATGTTCCTGTCAGAGAACTCGAGCATCGTATCCCTGCAGGGGTTCACGAGAGTCGGGCCTTTCAGCGCCGAACCTTCAACACATTCAACATCTTCGATGAGAAATTATGAGTGGATTTCAAACGTGGACGATGAGGGTTCCAGGATTCTGCGTATGTCGGTAGATCCTTGGTGTCTGTACTTGGGCTCCCCCAACACGGGCTTATGTAAGGTCGTAACATTTTGAACGGATTGCATGAGTTGCCGAACGGCCAGCTTGGGTCGTGAGCGAATGACTGAACATGCATGTGGGGACGAGTGCGATTCGTTACAAGCAGGTGCAAAGCCCATTGACCCACATGCACTGAAAGGAGCCCCGTGGCAGCACTGGGGTTGCAGTGTCCAGCTGCATCACTCAGAGTCAAACTTTTCCATAGCATTAAACCTTGAAAGCCATCTGGGGCAGCATAACGCCCCTTGTGGATTACCTGTCGGATTTGGCTGTGCTGCCGTCTCGCAGCACGGCCATTCTAATTTGCGGTGTTCTGCGTCTCTTGCAAGCGCTAGGGCGCTAGGCGCTACAAACTCGCGGGCTTGAGGAGACCCCCCTCATCGTCATCATCCACACAGGTCCTGGGCGTCTTTACTTTTCCCGTTCGTCTCTGCTTCAAGGCAAAATCCCCGTCCTGATCAATTCTCCCAGCTCCTCGTGATGAAGCATGACCTGTTACTGGCTACTGCAGGAATGCTGTAAAAGGCGTACAACTCGGTTTACTCAGGCAAGGGTAGGACTGAAGCTGTGCGCTCGGGCTTCGGAAATTCGCAATGCCGTCGCTGGAAGGCGATCTACTTCCACATCCTTGGACTTGCTAAGCATAGCGCCCATCCCTCGAGCTCGCCCTCACGCACGTTAACCTGAGCATTCAGAGGAGCTGGTGAATCTTGAAGGCCGGAGGAAGCACCGTTTAACCTTTGAATTAGCATCCGGTGACTTTCACAAGCTCAGTGGCCAAGTGGACTGTACCGCACTCGAGAGAACTAAACCTCCCCAGACCGAAGTGAACAGAATCAAAGGTCTTGTCAGGTGACATGGACTTTGCCCCAATTCTGCGTCTCATCCAAGCCCAGCACGCGCAAGCGGTCGTTCTTGACGCCTTTGGAGGTGTGTGTACGTCTGCTTTTAGGTGGGAGGTTGGGCGGCGAAGGCAAGGGGCCGCCTGTATTCCGCCTGGTGCAGCAAAACCCCCAAGATGCCCCGAGGTGAACAAGTTGTTCAAACGGTTGATGGCTTGATGGTTGCAGTGTACTTAGGTGGCACTTTGGGCTCTATCCTGCAGATACCTTCAACTGTACCCCGGGCAGACAACAGTTGCCCGACCGGCACGACTTAGTGGCTTGTTGCTCCGTCGACGTGGAGCCTGATGAAGTTCAGCATAGGCATGCTTAATAATTGCAAGATGTTGTAAGAAAGCAGGGGAATGTCGCCTCACGATGCTTGACTAGGCCCCGGAGTCCTTCCTGCAAACTTCGACCACCAGAATCGGAAGCACAACAATCGCAACACTGATGCCAGATTTTTCACGGACGAAAGATTTCAACAGATGCCGCAGGTTGTTGAAACTGCTTGTAAAGTTTCGACCTCTTGATTCTCGGGCGATATCTCCAGTCTCATCTACTGCTTGATCTGCCAATGGACAGGGTTTGGAGTTCTCGTAGTAAGTCGGCTACAGCATCCCGTGGTGAAGTCTTCCTTGCATTCCCCGAATCTCCAAATTTCAGTGTCATTCCCAAGAAGAGTCGATGATCGTGAGCAGCAGAACTCAGAGAAAAGCCCTGACTGCCCGGCGAATGCACATCAGAAGATCGAGTGTGGTCACGAAGGAAGGCACACGTAGTCACTTAGGTGACAAGCAGCCAGGCAAGAATCCAAGAATACGCACCTCTGCTGCCTGCCAGCCCCAACTATCGGGTGATGGTCGTTTTCTATCGCGTCTCAAGCTACCTTTTTCTGCTTTGTTAACACCGTGTCCTGAAGAGACGGCTTGAAGTCATCTGTTGATAGAAGCTAGAGTCTTGGCCCTTGGCCTTGTCTACACACAGAACAATGACGAAGACCTTACTCTTCGCTGTCCGGCTGCGCTTTGTCAGCTTGTCGCCTTTCGCATTGGGCTCCCGTCGTATCCAGATAGCATCGTACACAACTTCCTCGGCAGCGGTTTCGATGCGATCACGTCCAGCAAAGCTCTCATACGTCCGAGCTGCATAGAGGACGCCCAGCTTCGGCACCTTGGGCGCTTCCGTCGCTTCCGTTGCTTCCGTGGCCTGGAGGCGCTCCTGAGCTCGGATCTGCACCCGGCTGCACCCATGGCTACACCCTGCCGGGCCTCTGCGGCTGCAGCCACAGCGCCGAGTGCGCCTGGCAGCTCCGGTCGCCTCAGCCGGGAAGAGCTCGCCCGATTCGACTCATCAGCAACAAGCCCGGCAGCTGCGGGGAATCCGGCACATCCGTGGCTGCCTGGCACTTTCAGTTTCATGGGCATGGCTTAGGGGCATTGGCAGCGACGTCCAGCAATGGCAGATTTTTTCCACTCACGGCAATGGCGACGATCGCACCAGACATGGGAGCAGCACAACGGCAGTACTGGGAAGGATGAACAAAGAATATGAGAGGCCGCGGCCTATCCGAAGACAAAGCTGGCCGGGCACCAGGTCTACAATCAAATGTCGAAGCTTTGAATGTTTTCTTTTGAGGGCTTTGTGCCACTCGCCTAGATTAGCGTTAAGAATTTTGAAGACCCAACCCCAGGCACCCTGAACCTGAACACCCTCCCTCCGCCGCTTGCAGCTCACTCAACACATGATACTACTTTAATATGTAATATGTAATGAAGCTTTCTTACAGTTCAAAGGACGAGCAACCGTGGAAGCAACAGCCCCAGCAGTACTGTAGCAGTAGCACTAGCAGCATTAGCAATGGTGCGACCGCAGCAGCAGAGCGAGTGACGGTTCAGTAACATTGTAAAGTGGAGGAGGACGAAAAAAGCAGCACGCTAAACACAATAACCTTCAGTGCGTCGCCTGCCCAGCATCTGCACAAAATCACTGAGAACTATCAATCTTTTTCGGCCGGGAGAGAGCCGCGCCAACAACCTGAAAGATTGATTTCTCCTTTGAAGACAGGGTTTTATGCTTGCGAAGGACAGGTAGACGTAGAGAGATAGACAGGCTGACAGAATGTTTGATACTAGTAGATGGATAGAGACAGACAAACACACACACACACACACAGCACGTGAACTAAGTCGCTTGCAGCCAGCTTGGACACGAGGTATGCCTGAATTCCGTCCGAATCTCGGGCCGCCTCCTCCATGGCCTCCAGAAGGTCATCCTTTGCCATAACACCTGGCTGCAGCTTGCGAGCTCCATTTCTGGAACCAGTCGAGCGGCCTCAAAGCACGGCTGTGCAGTTCGCGCCGCTCGCGCCTCGCCGCCTTGCTGTCGCCATGGCCTCCGCTGCGTGGCGCTCCTGGGGCGCGAGGCCCGCCAGCACGGCCCTGTCACGACACGCCGCCGCACTGCGACAGAGAGGCGCTTCGAATCCCGCCTCAACGCTGCTTGATCCGGGGACCGCCTCCCGAGCTACACTGGACAAGCACAACTCGAAACAGTGAAAAGCTTCGGCAGGCGGGAGGCGGGAGGCAGCGCTGTGTGTGGGAGGGGCGAAGGGGCAAATGGGAGATGAACAGCAGACGGATCTGCGTCGGAAGGTTTGTCCGGCGACTGCATCGAACAGCTGATGCCACTGCTCGATACCTCGACCGTTGTTGTGAGAGCTGTTCTCTGGAGCCCCATACTCTCGAGTGCCTGCTGCGCCTGTGCCTTGTTGTGGCCTGGGCAATCCCTTCAAACAGCCCCGTAGACGGGTTGGCAATTTGGACGTGCTTTCTCGCAGCTGAATAAACGGGTTGACCGCCAAGGCCCAAGGCCAGAGACGACGAAGTCCCTGCCTCTAAGGCTTAGTTTTTGAAATCGCCTAGGGCCTAGATCTTTTCTCGTTTACACTCGTACACTCACGTCAGCTACACAGGCCGTAGATGCTTCAACAGACTCAACATGCAACTTTCCAGCCCAGCCACCCTGCCAAAGCTGCGAGGAGCACGGCTGCCTGTGCCAAAGACTCGCCCCTGGCTGACAAGGCAGGCAACTTCACCGTTGCAAGCCTGGCCTACGAACAACCTCTTCTTTTCCTTTATGGAGCTGGGCTGCTTAGTTGACTGCTCAAGCTTTGGCATCTGCTGTTCAACTCTTGTCTTACCCACTACGCATGCGCCTGTCCCGGCACTTGTCCAATGCTTCAGCGGCATCCGCTCCAGCCTGCCACAGATCGGCCTAAAAGCTTGTGCTAGAGGCAGGCTCCTTCAAACGAGCAAGTGGCCACTAAGAAAGCCTATTCAAGAAAACAAGTGAGTGCCTGAACGAGCAGCAGAACTCTGTCTGAAGTAGAGTGTCTTTCCTTATGGAGTTTACCCAGTGCAGCCTGAGTTGTGCACCGTGCCTCGACGATCCAGACAATGCAGTCTAAGTGGCCAGCAGCTGCAGCTACTTCCAAGGGCCTTCAAATCTGGCACGATGTGGACAACGCAAAGTAACGATGATTGTCCGAATCGTCAGACCCGCATAGACTGCCAGGCACCCGCGTCCCTGAATGTCACGAGCCGCCACTGCCACTCCGTAGGGTTCGGCCGAAAGGAAGCGCCTGAAAGCGGAAGCTTCCAAGACCCTTCCACTCCGCCCAACTCCGCTGTCTACGTACCCCACTCCGTCACTCTCTGCATCCCTTCTCTCCCTCTCTTCCGCTGCACCTCAGGTCCTCCACGCGACCCTCGCCGGCGGCTGCACAGAGCGGCTCCAGGGGTCGCGAGCAGATCGGGCACCCCTCGAAAGGCTTTTGCTTTTTGGGTCTTAAAATCTCTCGCTTATTCCGTTTATTCCTGAGTGGAAATTATCAGCGAGTCGCGACTTTGTAAGTTCGACTCCACACACTGCTTTCGACCGGGCAGCTGTGCACTGAAACCACCCAACCATTCCAGTGTCGGGGCATTGGAGTGGGAAAACACAAACCCGAAACCAAGCCCAACCCTGAACGCCGACCATCAACCCTAAAACCAACCCGTTCAGCAGAATAGGCAGCAAGTGCTGCAAGGCAGAGACCCGCCTTTGGACCCCCTGATAACTTATTCATTTCGGACACACCGCCATGGATCTATCCCTACAGTACTGCAAAGGAACATGCGGCATCGATGGTGACTCTCGTTTTCAGGAAGCGGCATGCGCGGATGGTGAGGCCATATAACATCACGACAACTATTGCGGAGAAAGCCACGGATAGCTTGCAACTAGCGGAGTAATCTAGCATCTGCAGCTTTTCCGAGCATGTGATGGCCCCTGCTTTTTCCTCGTAACCAAGGAGCCAGTTTGGAACTTTCTGCAGGACGGATCGATGCTGGTGGAATGTGGGCATGGGCTCCGGTTCCGTTTTGCTTTCGCAGGCACGTCCAAATCGATTCACGCAGCTTTGGTAATCTCTTTCCCGAAACTCAAGGGTTGCGGAGATAATCACTAAACTCTGCAAGAGAGAGAGAGAGAGAGAGAGAGAGAGAGAGAGAGAGAGAGAGAGAGAGAGATAGAGCGAGAGAGAGAGAGAGAGATTGGTCAGAAAACCGTTCGCCGGGGTGGACAAGATCGTGTATGACCCACAGTAACTGGCTCATGTCAATGTTGATGCAGGATTTCGCCCAGTCACACTGATGTCTTTTACGAAAGATGTGAGACAATGCTGAGGTTGTAGAAGATCGATGCAGGATTTCGCCCATCAGCAGTATCTTCATACCACAACCGCGCAACATGATACTATGCTGCTTGCATACTGGCAAACTTCGCGATTGACCCTCTGGGTACTTCTCGATTTGGAGTACAGCACCATACACCACCATGCGTAGTAGGATCCGTCCTTACTTATGCTTGAACATACCACCCCACTGCGTCCAACCAAAAGCTATCCACACGCCCTAAGCCCAAACCAATAAAGGACTGTCTCTTACAAAGCGTCTTCGGTCGCGGAAGCTCGTAGCTCTGAAATTTACCAGGCGTGATTTAAGGCTTCTCTCCGACTAGGGCGCATGCGATTCCTACTCAACATCTCCCTTCATGGCTAGTGGTTCACCACCCTCTCTCGTGGACTTTGAGACCCACAATTTTTGAACCTGTACTGGTGCATGGTACGTACTGGAATCAAACCGGATCCACTTCGTGTTGTAGCCAAGATGGCGATCCCCAAACCGTGTTCAAATCGAGCCGTATTCAGACTGTCTTGGTACAGATTCCTCGGCCGGCCCGATAACGTACAAACGTCTGCAATACTACTTGGGTATGGCTGAAGCGACATGGTGCCAAAACTGCCGTGTGAATGCGGTGTGCTGCTAATGGACTCGAACACGGTTTGACTGTGACTACAAGTTACTATTGCTTGAACCAGTAAACTGCGATTCGGGCTGGGATTGGAACGGTTTGAACATGAACCCAAGTGGAGAAAAACGACTTGAATACAGTTTGAGACTGCGAATGCGGCTTGAGTGCAAGACTGTGGAAGTATTCAAACCTCATTAAGAATACAGAACAGGACACAAGAGTGACACAGCACCCCTCGATCGTATCCGAAGTGCGCCCAACATGTGTCGAGTTACTCCGATGCGAAGCCAAGTCGTTGTACCAATCGCAAACACTGTTCAACCACCTTAACCGAATTAACCTTTTCTCTCAGCTCGTCCACGTCCGAAATGGGCAAGAGTGTGTTCTCTCGCTCTCTTCGCTCTGCAGCATTGGCCTTCGGCCGAATGAGGGCACCGATGTCTGGGTGGTCCAAAAGGAGCCAGCCCAGCAGACCAGTCCTGAGATGCTCGAAGTCTCAAGTCCGTGAAAAACGCGGGCTCGCTTCCACGCCTCTGCTCGCGACACCGGCGCCAAAGTCGAGAGTCCTGAACTGGTCCGGTCCGATCTGTCTGTCTGTCTCTGTCTGGGTGGCTGTCTGTTTGGCTGCCTGCCTTGCCTTTGCCTTACCTTATTTGTCTTGTCTTGTCCTGTCTCGCCTTGCCTTGTTTCTGTTGGGGGGTGAGGTGTGTGGGTGTGTGATTCTGCATTGCCTAGACAGTCAATCCATCAACCAACCAAGCATTCACTCAAGTAATGACAGTATCAACCATTCCAGTAATCCATCAGTCCTTCAATCAACAACGGCATTAATCTATCCCACCATCCATCCATCCATCCATCCATCTCACGCAACCAAGCAATTCAACAAGCAATCAGTCGGTCGGTTAGTCAGTCAACCAACCAACCAACCAACCAACCAACCAATCAATCAATGAATCACTGAATCACGCAGTCTGTCAGTCAGTCCGTCAGGCAATCAACCAATCAATCAGCTAATCGTGTCGAGTTACAGTGCTAGTTTTTCCATTTGTCTTAGCATAAATGCTTCTGGAACAAACAGTCTTGGTGGTTGCGGTTAACAATATGGAAGCCTAGTGAATAAGGCGGTGGAAGGTAGACTTGCAACTGCTGCCTCCTAATTTACCGCAAACTTTCCAGTTGCAAGCAAAGGGATACAAGGCTTTCGGTCTTTATGAAGAAAGCCGGTGCCGGGCGGGGTGGCTGAGAACCCAGAATGCGTCTGGACACATTCACGCCGAGCGACATCCCAGCCAAACACCTCGACATCGGCACCTGCAAAGCACAGAGAAGGATGCTACCTCTGGAATGGCTCCGCAGGCAGCTGCAGCTTTGGCAAAGAAGTGCGGTTGATCGTTGATCCTTACTTTGCTGCAGCTGTAGGGGCCCTCTTGCCACTGCCTGCATGTGCGGTCAAAAAATGCTGATTTTCGTGCCGGTAGAAGCATGCAGCCTCTTTAAGAGCGGGTGCAAATCGTTGCGGCCGGCTCTGGGTGACAGAGAGACAGGCAAGCACTACCAACCATACAAGCAGCTTTTTCGGTGCCTCGCCGCAGAGAGCTTACTGCCGCAGCACCCAACGACGGGCCCTCGCGCACTGCCACACGCTCGGCGACCACCTCACCCCAGACCCAGCCGACCTCTTAGGCAATGCCTCTACACGATAAGAGGGCGAAGCATGCAAGCCTGGCTGAACTCATGCCAAGACACGTGATACAATGCGCCATGGCCCAGCGCTTCGACGGAAGCGTCCTCACAAGGTTAAACTGGAAATACATTGATTCCAACACTGATTTCACATCCGGCGGGAAGCTACCCTGTTAAAGCATGCTGCTATGCCACGCATCTGGGGCAACTGCTGTCTGCGCAGTTGTTTTCGCTTGCCACTCGGGTATGCTTTCTCTACCAGCAGCATTTTGCTGCATCCCATCCCTGCTTGCCTCTGTGACGGGCCGGAACATGCTAGGCACCTTGCCGCAAAGTCACTGGAAAAGTACGATCGTAGATACGCCATGATCAGAGATCAAAATGATATAGGTCTCCTTCTAAGCCTGAGAATCTACAAAGCATGCTCCAACCATACATCTCAAGCCAAAGCTTCGGCGATTCCAAGCAATGGCCTTGAGAGTGCCCAGCCGCGTCTCGTTCTCTGCGATCTGCCTGTCCTTGGCCACATGCTTCGGTTGCTCACTTCCTGGGTGCAGCTGCAGCCCTGCCTCGTCGTCGGAATCCTCGCGAGGTGGTGCCGAAGGCAGCACCTGCTGTGTCAGGGACGAACCGACGGTCAAGTCCTCGCCAAAGCATCGTCTTGCGGCCTTGAGGACTTGGATTCCACCGATGTAAACCTGAGCAGCAAGTGACAAGTCATTTTTTCTCCAAGCTCGGGGCGGCGGTCCGAAGAGCTCCAAGATCCGAGCTGGAAGATATCCTTGGCACGGAAGGCAGTACACTGCATCTGCAGTCGCTGCTTTTCCCACCTTGCATCTTTGCGCCAAGCTGCTCCCGGCCTTCAGCTTTAGCCACTGGCCATCCTCGTCCAGCACACCCCAAACAACGCTTCCCCACCGGGCCGACTTCAGAGCCTGTGCAGAGTGCAAGGCACCACATGCGGAACCGCTGCCTCTGCTACCGCCTGGTTCTTGTCCACGAGATCTCGAGCGCTGCGATATCGCAGCCCGGCGCTGTGCGAGGCGAGGAGGCCTGAATTCCGGCTCCGAGCCCGCAAATGGTGCTCCCGTAGCTGCTGTCGGACAGGTCGCTGTTGTCCACGAGGAAGGGCTCCAGCTGCCGTTTTGGCAGGCTCTCGATGGGAATCCCAGCCTTGGTTTGGGGAATGGAAGGCCTTCGTCAGGCCCTTTGCAAAGCCCTTCCTCTGGGAAGCCCCGCCAGGACCAGACCTTCGGCTTGGTCCTCTTGCTGCTTCTTCGCCCAGGCAGCGAACCGCGACATCTCGAGAATCTGCTGTGCTTGTACAAAGAGCTCGAGTGCATCGTCCGGGCTACAGTTGGTTTTGTCAGGTAAACTTTCGCGCGGTCTCTTGCTAACTCTGGAACATCTAGTTTTGGGGCTGCTTCGTTCTTTGCGGTTGGGGCGAATTCCTGAATATTCGTGTGACCCCAAGGCAGTATGGATTACTCGAGCCATGAAGGGCAGCACGATTTGCTGATCATCAAGATCTGAAAAGCTTCCTGCACAATGCAGACTTCACACTGCACCTTTGAAAGGGCACGGCTTCCTCATCTTGCTCTGACATGTCGCCATTGATCGGAGTACAGTACGTAGCAAGACAGAAAATCAAGTGCCCAGGCAACACCTTGCGCTGCCGATGACTCTGCTGCCACAAGACGCAGAAGCACTGATGGGGATTTTCACAAAACTAAGCTGCATGTCCCAGCCTGATCGTCTCATCATCGTCAAGCAAAGCCCGACGGCGCAAGCCGTACACGATCTTACGCTGCGTGTCCATGACCTCATCATGCATGAGTCAGGTCCCAAGTTCTGCCCAGCGATTGGGCCAGGCACTTGAAGGTTTCTCAAGTTTAAATCACAAGTGCATTCCAGCAAACTGAGCTTGTTGCGTCATCGTACTCGAAAACATTCTTGCGCACACTGTAGAAATAGTTTTCGACCTGCGACTCTTCGATTGGACTGGGCACTACGACTTTGCTGATGCTCCTCACTCTGCGAAATGAACGCAAGGCACGCTGCAGGCGCCGAGAGTTTGGTGCTTCGGGTCAGTTCGAGGCTGGTGTTCGCGGTTTAGCAGTTAAGGCTTGCTGCCGCAAAGCCAAAGCCAGTCTCGACTAGCCTAAGTATTGATATGTATTGCCTGAAGTGCTGCTGATGAACACGGAGATACCGGGCAAGATGCGGTGGATACGGTTTGCAGAGTCGCAGCCATGAATGTCATGCACGTAGACCCTTTCTCGCAATACTTCTGAGAAGAAGCCTCGTAGACACGCCTCTGTGGCCAAGTGATTTTGTAGAACTCATTTATTAAAGTTGCTACTCGGTCTGCTGTACTGCAATGCACTGCACGGCGAACAAATCCTTCCTTGGTTCTGCTCTTTCATGCATGAAAGGCAGGGCACCGGTCTTGAAAGAGAATCCCACTTGGATACGGCAGAGTCCAGGAGAGCTCCACACCCAAAAACCCAGCGTCTCTTTTTGCACCAGGCCATCTCGCCGGTCGGCAACCTCAGTGATATCATCGCACACCAAGCTCTAGGACTCGACTGCGTCGCAAGCGATGGCATCTGCAGAAACTGGGCTGCCAGGCACCTCATCGCGGCGACCGGGATCTCGCGTGGCGACGGCGGAGACCACCGTCCACCGGCGAGCCCGAGCGGGGCGACCGCGAGGGCGCGTGGCCACGGCGCAGGGTAGATGGATTCCACGCAAACGGATCCGAATCCCCTTGCCAGGCACGCAGTGCATGCTGTGACATTTTGGCCAGACTTACTGGGGCTTCCCGCGATATAGTCTCTACATTTACTGCCCATATGCACCGTGAGATGTGGCGAAAGGATTACCTGGTACGCGCAGCACTTCCGGTGCCCCACTCACTGGGATTTGTGGCCTCAGACTAAAAGGGCTACATCAAGACAATGCCTGTTTTGGAGCTTAACACTACATCTCCAGCACTACATGTTGACGTAAAACCTTTTGACACTGTGCTCAATGCTCTGTGTCACATTTGCAAAGACGGATACCCGGACTCCCAGAAACGCCTTCGTCCAATGGATCGTCTCGATCGGTCTCGTTGTCTCTCTCGGTCCGCGGTACTGCTTGGGCTCGCGGTGCCCGTGTCAGCATCCTGGGAGACAGCGTTTTCCTTGACGGCTTGACCCAGAGCCGACACCCGAAATTCCCCATTGTCGCTTGTCCGCTGCGATGTAACAAAGAGCTGAGAATCTGGTTTGCTGCTGTCGAGACGGTATGAGACTTGACAGTATTCAGCATTTCAAGCAGCAGCAATCCAGATTTGCCACGGGGGGGGGGAAGGAGATTGGCCGGCGTGGGCGTCTCGGGGAGCTCTGGCCAGGAGCTTTGCCTCTTGGAGGCAGTGATCGATTAGTCTACCACGTGGCCCTTGAACTTTCTCCGAAGCTCGTCACTGCTCGTGACTTTCAACACCTCGCATGTCAACCTGAAAGTGATCCGCTTAAGGGCCACAACATCACGGAGCAGGTCTTCTTGAAAACCTGCAAATGACTCGGGGGTTGCCACTGTCGGGAGCATGCTTCAATCGTCTCTTCAAAATTAAGTCTGTAGCACCACAGTGGCCCAAGTCTGAGCCTAAGTGGAGCTCTTGACATCTGGAGCTCAGCCCACAGTTTGCCCCCTGCAGACTCAGACCTGCTTTGGACAGGATGAGAGAACTGCCGTGACAGGGTAGCAGCGATTCGGACTGCATCACAAAATCAGTTCTGATGCTGGATTGTGCTTAGCTGTGACAGTCTGAACCTGTCCCGAAACCCTCTACAAAGAAGCGGCGCTACGCCTTGAGCTCCATGCATTGAAGCCAGCTACGCACTTCAAACTCGTTCCAAGCAATAGTCTTCCGTCGCCCGTCAGTAGGCTACATGTGCGGCTCAGCAATGACAGGAGCTTTAAACGAGCTCGGCGAAAGCAAGATTCTCCTTGCCCTCGGCTAAACGGCGCCAAGTGCCTCGAGCTCAGACCTTGCGCTCGCTAGCCTCAGGTGTCAGGTTGACAGGCGATGACATGTGTTCACAGTTGTTTCGTTAGTTTCCCATCGCAGCTCGGCCATGGCACAGGCGTGTCTTGGATGCTGCCTGGCGGCTCAAAGCGTGTGTCGCCTTCAACTCCGCACCTGGAGGGGGCTGGGAGCTTCAACGGGTGCCATCCCCTCCACCAAATCAAAGCAAGCCGAAGCTGCACTCTGGGGAGGACTTCCTGGAGCTCCTGCAGCTGGTTCGTCAGATCCTGCGAGTGCCAAGGCGGCCCGCGCGCCATGGGCGAGTCTTGTGCCGAAGACCTGCCTCGATGGTGGGTTCGTCCTGCAACTTGATGATCCGATGCTGGATACCTCAAGCTGCGCACTTGCATGTCAGGTCCAGAAGGTTACTTCACCGGCGACCTTCACGGCCCCATCAAGACGCGAATGGCGCTAAAACCCGACATATCTGCAAATCTGAACCCTGAAACCTGCGAAGACACGGAGTCACTGGAGATGCATCTTACGACTTGCTCTGATGCGAGCCGCAGGTACTGAGGGAGTTCAGGTGGCTAGTAAAGTATCACAGCCTACTCAACAGCAAATTCCGAGGCTGCAAAGCTGAATCTGGCCTTGATCACGACACCAGACCTCAGTGGCAGGCTTTCAGCTGCGACAGCACGGCCGACTTTGAGGCAGGGGCCAGATCAGTCGCAGCTTCAGCCTGCGCACGCATTTTGGGCGCACAGCGAGCTACTTCCCTGGCCTTCTACCCCATGGAAGGAGGTGCCTCGACTTGGGAGTCCCCCACGGAGACAAAAACGATCTCAGAGGACCGGGAGCTGCCTGGTCCCAGCGAGGCACACGCTGCAAGGCAAATCGCTCTCCCGTTGCTCTGCCCAAGCTTGTCGGCACGTCTCGCCTGCCAGCTGCTTCAAGGCCTGCACTTTTCAAGGTCAGAGGCAGAGCGGGCAGAGTAGCCGCGCCATGCCGCGCCTGGCTCATGGCCTTCCGCTTGCACTGGACGTAGAGGTCCACTCCCGGCTCCTGCGCCCGGGTTTGTGCGTTTCGGCTGCCCGGCCCGCCCGGCCCGCCCGGCGGTCCTGCGATGCTGCCATCATTCGATACTTGTCCAGCACCTTCAAGGTTCGCGTGAACAGCCTGTGGCAGCTTATCAAGATCACTTGCCGCCTCTCGCGCATACACGATCGGGATGTCCAGCTCGTGAAACAACTTCTCCCAGTTGATGCCTCACACAGGCGCTGCACTGCGCTTGAGCCTGTGCCTGCACGCTCAGCTCTTCTGCTATTCCTTGGGGTCCTTGCTGGGCATGTATCTCTTTGCCGAGACCTGGAGCCAGGGCCGCCTGAGGAGGCACGGAGGCATGCCTCCCCCGGTCACATGCCCTTCTTGCCGCCAAGCGACGCCGCCAGGGTCACCTGAAAAAGAGGAACATCTGGGTGCTGTTTTCTGTTTCGGATTCGGCGTTTCGCCCAAAGGGTCCAAGAGGCGATGCCCACGCGGCCAATTTTGGAGGCGAGGCGAAGGGTATCGCTGACAAGCTTCGCATGGGCCTCCATGGCCTGACAGACACCACGGGCACGCAGTCGCCGTAACGCAGGACCCCTGCTAAGGCGCTTGCTGGTCGCTGCTCGTCAGTGGGCTCGGCACGCATGTCGGCAGTGCACGCCTGACGCAGACCGTCGCCACCGCCGCCACAAGGTACGATTCGGTTTCTGGTAGGGCCGTGACCGTGGTTGGAAGCAGCGTGTCGTCCCAATCGAAGATTAAGATAGCCCCTGGGCTTCATGGTGCAACGATCACCGCTTCGACTGGCGCTGGAGAAGGAACTCGACGCGAGCACTGCAAGGCCAAGACGTGCGCTGCTACTTCGCTACGTGCTACACAGTCACTGAATCAGTCCCACTCTCGTGAGTTTCATCATGATCTTCAGTCACTTTGGACACGACCACAAATTTCTTATTGCAAGAAAGCATTTTCTTGCCAAAATGCTCGATCCGGGCTCCTCTTCCTCTTCCTTGAGGTCGGTCATGAAGTCGGGTTTCAAGGAGCTGGCCCAAGGAGTCGACTCGTCGAGTTCTGCGAGGGCGAGGGCAGCTTCGCAGGTTTTACGTCACCCAAAATGCAACACCCCGACCTTCCAAGATGCGTTCGGAGATCTCCTTGGCTCGCACAAGGATTTGCCCCGGACCATGGAGGAGCCCTAGCTGGGAAACACCTCTGGCCATAGCAAGTCAGGACACAACACTCAACCGGCGCCCGATGCCCTTGAGGGTGGGCTTTGGCCTCGGGTTTCTCAAACAGTGCGGAGCGTTGGCCCTCTACGCAAACAGATGATGTTCCACAGAAGTACCTTGTGTCCAACACGTCCAATCTTGAAAAATGCACTCCACACGCTTCACTGCGACGTGGTCGACATAGCTATGGAGTTCATCTGAGGGTCAAAGGACGGCTTCATTTAACTGCTGCAGTCAAGAGCGCCTATTCATCATGGACGGTCTCCTCGTGTAAAGCTTTGGATGACCTGCGACTCTTCAGGTGCAGCACTGACCTGCTGAGATGCATCTCTCTTGGAAAAACACCCCCAGCATGCTGTCAAAAGCGTGCCACCGCCCAGTAGCTTGTGCACTGTGCGTGGTATGCGCAGGTGCACACCGTGGCATGCATGGTCAGGCGTCTGGCATTCCCAGCCCCCCGCCCCCCCCCCATGGTATGGTGTGCTACGGGGTAGGGGGGGGGGGCCTGGCGTTTGCGGAGAGGGGTGGGGGCGTCAGAGCTGCAGCTGGAGGGACTGCCAGGCGTCACAGACGAGGCTTGAGGCCAGCATCGTACACAAGCCCTACGCAAGCCATAGATCCTGTAACATAGCACAGTAGCGCCTGCTCCTGCTTTTATGAACAATAACCTAAACTTCAAACCCTACAACCAACCCTAAACCCAGCCTAAATGCAGGCTCTATGCCTAAATCAGAACATAAACTATCAACCCTAGCGAACCTACACTTAAGCTAGACCCAAAACCCCAAAACCCCCACAACCACCCCACAGGGGGAAAGAGGGAACCCACACTCCATCCCACAGCGGGGGCATCCTGGACCATAGACATGGAGGGGGGGGAGGGGGGGGGGCGGCGGAGCGCGTGACCATATATGCTCTCGGGTCCCGGGCCGCCACCCCCCCACCCGCCCTGCGCCCCGGCCCGCACCTTGCCCGCTCCTGGGCCTTGTGCGCGGATCGGGAGTGTCGCACTATGCCCTGCCGTGTGCGGAAAGCGGCAATCGGCTCAGTAGTTTCCAGCATCTGACATGAATGGCAATGCTGAATTATGAGGGTTGTATCGCGATGGTGATGGTGGCAGATATTCGAGGAAGGTATTAATGATGAAGATCACGACGACAAGGATGATGTTGAGCATGGTCTGATTGTCGACTCATGTCCCGGTCTAGAGCAGCACAACATCATGAGCAGTATCACCGGTGCCACAGCAAGAGGGAAGACAAGGAGTAACACATAAGAACATCGCGGCAAAAAGAGTACCACCACAGGCCCCACACCACAGGGGGGGCGGGGGGGAAGGGGGGAGGATACCATGGGGTGGGGGGGGGGAGGGGGGGTGTGGCAGCCCTGCATCATATATGGTGTCGCGTCGCCAGCAACTAAAGCACTGCCAAATGAGCCAACTCTGACGCATGCTCAGAACATAAAACAATGCAACGAGCCTGGTCTCTTGTCCATGGAGAAAGCGCCTGAGCTCATTGCATTCCGCTCGGGGTCGACTCGGGCTCCAAAATTCTGTGAAGGGCAAAGGTGTGAAGTCCCAGCCGAGGAGTAGGCTGCCAAAAAGAAACCCAACTCTTGAGTCTCTGACTCCATTGCCGGAGGTATCGTAAAACCAAGACACTGTTCAAAGCTGAACACCCCTGCATGCCTCAAATGGCTTCAGGTTCCGATGCAATATCACTCTCTGCGAATCATACCCCAAGCGAGTGTTCTGGCTCTCTGTAGCGATAGCTTGTTCCTTTCGGTGACATGGTGAGTCCAAGTGGCTTTCTGCCTCCGAGCCAACACCGAAGCTGGCGGTCACGCTGGCGGTCATCTGCGGCTAAGGGCAAGGTGGAGTCAGGTTGAGCGCACGGGGACTTCTTCATTTTTACATTCAACAAATGGATTTCGCACATGCACCTGTAGGGTGGACAAGGTTTCGACTGCGCTGCACCCTGCAGGCCTCGGACCCCGCAGAGACCTGACGCTGTCGCTCGGCGCCCGTCCGCAGATCTGCGTTGAGATCCAGCGGCAAGGGCAGCTCGTCGTCCTGGCGACAAATGGAGCACGAAGCTGAGGCGAAGGCCCCGCCGGGTGGCCGGCGTCCCTCCCGCCTCCGCCTCCGCCTCGGCCGCCTCGTGCGCCGGCGCTTTCGTTAGACTCTCGCTCCCGCAGGAACCACCTCAGAGCTCTGACTGCGTCGTCGGGACAAAAGCGGATCCTCCTTCGAAGGCCGGGGCACCTTTTGCCTCGTCGTGGATGTCACACAACCACTCGATGAATGCTACCTCAGCTCACGATGGGCATGGCCATAAGAAACCGAAAGACTCCGAGTGGCTACCGACTCCAAGGGCTTCCGCTGAACGGTGCCATCATCTCAAGCCCGAAGAGAACTGGGCTTCGGCGGGTCACATGGAGGCGCTCCTGCGGCTCGTCTTCGGGGATGCCCGTCCTGAGACTCAACCGGAACACCAAATGGGATTGGTTCGGAGTAGGACCGAGAGAAGCTTCTGCAGTCGAAGCTCTGTGCAGCACACTATGGACGCAGACATGGACCAATGGAGGTGCTATGAGGTGCTTGCCAAGATGCGCTTCGCGAAACAGGCTGACCACTCGCTCGGCCTCCGACGGCTCCAAAGACGGCTCCCCAAAATCCCCGAGGATGCGCTCCAACACACTCCGCAACGCTCCGCCAAACACATCTCCGCTTGGCTGCCGAGGCGCGGCGCCGGGCTCAAAGCCGAGGCTCGTGAGCACTTCTGCCAGGTGCCGCGGCCTCAAGCCCCCGTGCAGCTCTCCATCGAGTTGCCGCAAGAGCCTGAGATTCAGGGCAAGCTGAAAGTTGAGCGGGCGTAGGATGCTGCATGTCTCGTGTCCTGTGCATGCTTGATTGAAGACCTCAAGCTTCTAATCTATACCTCCATGGACATAGCTGTCCTCACCACAATATGAGTGTAGCAACTGTGAGGCACCTCTTCGTGGGAACACTATGTGACTTCTTCGTGGCACTCGGTAGGACCAGCACACCCTCTTCCTCTTCTAGAAACATGCTCGAGAGACATGCTGCTCGATTTTGAGTCTGACAATACCGAAGTCGTCCTTCATCAACCGCCAGCACTTTGCTGTTGATTTAGTGTTGTTATTTAGTCGAGGTGGTGTAGCAAACAAGTAGCAGCAATGGTGTTGAAACCATGTTCACGCGATTCGCTCTCTGACAGCATGGCCACAAAACTTGTTCTTCGGGTCAGCCGAGTGGCTCCAGCACACGCTGCTGCCGGCCACTCTCCATTGGAGGGGCAGCGAAAAAAGCAACGAGGTGAAGCGTCAAGGGCTGCAGATGTGTTGTTGGGGGAGTGAAGGGGCTGGGCGACTGGATCAAACTTCCACTAGATCTTGACCACGGCCCTGGATGATCCTGCATGCCTGTGCCTGTGTGCCTGCTGGGTTGGACTGAGGAGGCTGACAGAGGTCTCGCAAAAAGTGCGTAAAGCCGAGGCGGCGAATCATCGATGTCTCCGGAAGCAGACATGCAGCAACCCCAGTGGCGAGGTCTATTCTTGCTGCCCAGCTGGTTTTTGACAAGGGGCGACCGCAACGCATACAGGACTATGACGGCCACCACGTGAACCTCAGCAAAGAGTCTTCACTTGCTGAAGCATGGTCAGCAGAGAAGTCAAGACCAAGCCCGGCTGCCACCAGGATGTGGAAGCGAACATCGCCAAGAACAGACGCAGCTAGCACCTCTTGCCAGCCCGGCCCATGTCTTGGCCTAACTACACGAGGCATCGCAAAAATGCTAGGGCTAGGGATGCTCGTCCAGAAGAAGCTTCACATTGTTAGTGAAGCCTGTGAAGCTGCTAAATGCGCCGTGATACCCAGCTTTAGGAGAAGTGGGTGAGCACGATGACAAAAACTAAACGTACATACGGCCGTTGACCCCAATCCTTCGACCCATCAGTTGTCAAAGTTGTCAACACCGATTGCACCGTATGTCAAACAGCACGGGGCCTCACATGGAACCTTCTGAAATCAAGCAAAGCTGACTTCGAATACTTCCCATTTCACGGCCTCGGGCTTCGGCAAGTCCACCTCAGCTTTTGGGCCCTTGGCCCTTGGGCATGGTCGGAGTGTCGCTTGGCCACTTTTCGCCATCCCCACGAGTTTGCAGCTTCCAAGCACTCTTGAGGACTTCCTGTGCTTGCAACCGGAGTCGCCAGGAAGTGCTGCAAGCTGAGGAGGCAAGCCATGATGGTGATCGGCGTGTGTGTGCCACCTGCCAGAGCCGGAGCCAGAGCCAGGGCGCCTTCTGCTCCCTCAAAAACTCTGCCGCAGGACTCGGGAGAAGCTTCTGTCCAAGCTCCTAAACACTCCAGAGCCCATCACGAAGCCATCAGCCCTGGCTCCTCCATTTCGCAAGAGTTGCCGCCTGGGTCTGCAGCGGCACTTTGCATGTAGTGCCGCCTCGCCAGCGGCAAATCTTGCCTTAGCTTTTTGAATTCAATTTTACCGCCACAATCTTGCAGTGGTCGTCGTCGAAGTCATGTTTTGAAGTGGCAGTGGTGGCGGTGGGTGGCGGTGGGTGGCGGTGGGTGGCGGTGGGTGGCGGTGGTGGCGGTGGTGGCGGTGGTGGCGGTGGCGGCGGTGGCGGCGGTGGCGGTGGTGGATGGCAATTGCAGTTGTTGTCGGCTTCATCGTCGTTTTCGTTGCTGCTGCAGCTGATGCTGCTGGTTTTGTTGATGTTGCGACGACGACCAAGACGACGACACCCCCCCGCTACTACTGCCGGCACTACTACCACTGCTACCATACTACTGCTACTGCTACTGCTACCGCTACCGCTACCGCTACCGCTACCGCTACCGCTACTACTGCTGCTACTACCACTACGACTACGACTACTACTCCTACTACCACTACTACCACTGCTACTACCACTACCACTACCACTACCACTACACACTACCACTACTACCACTACTACCACTACTACCACTACTACTACTACTACTACTACTACTACTACTACTACTACACTACCACTACACCCACTACCACTACCACTACCACTACACTACCACTACCACCACTACTACCACTATACCACTACTACACTACCACTACTACCACTACTACCACTACCTACTACTACTACACTACTACTACCACTACTACCACTACTACTACTACTACTACTACTACTACTACTACTACTACTACTATTTTCAATTGAACGCTGCGCGAGCGTGCTCTGCGCTTTGCGGGCGCCTTTGGTCTCATGCACTCGTGAAACTGCTTCTAGCATGCATCGCTCAGGTCTCTCTAATCAGCTCGAACTTGACATACTACTGCAACTGCTACTGCTACAAAAAGCTTCCTTCTCCGACACCTTGGTGTGAACAGACGCGTCCATCTGTGCACCTGTCTCAACAATTAGGCCGTACCTCAGACGAAGCCGCCACCTGGAGTATCCGTCTCGTGGCGTCCCACACGGATTACTCATGTTGAAGACAGAAGGCCGTAAGGGTCATGTGCGGATGACCGCTGGTACCTGAAGCAACTTCGGTGGCGTGAGTCTTTGGGCAGCTATGATGCGGGCAATTCGCTGAAGCGCAAAGTGCTGTTTTAAGCGAGGCTAGCACGCGATTCACATTCTTCCGAAGAGATGTGCTAGGCGTCGGAAGAGTGCCGAATTCCCTGAGTCTGTGACATAAGGGATCATAGAGTCTGTGACATATTACCGCCCTCACTGGTCATGACCTTTTGGCCACTGCTGAGAGTATCCATGCCAGGACCACTGCTGCCACCAGTCCCAGTCGTCGTCCTGAGATGAGCGTGCCTGTCTGGCCCACTGGGACGAGGAGGATGAGGAGGGGCCATCGCGCTGCCGCTTGCCCTCTGTGTCAGCCTCCTGCATCTGTGGGCGCTTGTTAGGGGCAGCAGCAGCCAGTTTGGCCATGCGCTTGTCCTCTTCGTTCCCCTTGTCATGCTGTATCCGCATCTTCATGATGGAGTAGGCATTTTTGTCGGGTTTGACCCGGAAGACACGAGCTGGGAGTCCAGCTGATTTGGCCGTCTCATTGTAGACTGCCACTATGGTGGTGGCGATCATATTGAACTCGACCCACGAGGGGAAGTGCTGCCGAAAAGCCTTTTCGTCCCACATCTTGTTAAAGCAGGCATGGATAAGGCCATGCACTTTTGTTGGTGCGTCCAGCTCACGGTAGGCGTCACCCGCGCCTGTGGCGATGGTGACCTTCCCATCGCTTGTGAGGACCCGCCTCACCGACATGGCGGTGTCCCATGTGAGGCCGGTTTGCGTCCTTACGGACTTGATGGCAGAGAACAGCGGCGGAACTTCTCGGAGTGCTTCCATCCTGGTAGACCAAAGGGTCTGTTGTTCCTGGTTGGTGAGGCCGCCAAGAATGACCGGAGCCACCAGGATGTTGATGGAAGCTAAGGCCCGAATCCAGTCCTGATGGGACTGGGAGCTCAGCAGCTGAGCCAGCTCCTGCCGCGTGTAACGTACTGTCAGCCGTGGAGCCGGCTGTGGGACATAGCCGACGAGTTCCGCATTGGATTCCGGAGGCTCATATGCTGACGGGGGGCGGGAAGAGGGAGGAGGGGGCGTGTGGGAGCGCGGAGCGGCCTGGGTGGCGGGGGTTGGAGGAGAGACGGACTTGGGGGGGTGCGGAAGGATCGGGGGAACCGGAATCGCCGGAGGGGGGGCTGGTGCCGCCGATGAAGAAGAGGGCGGGGGGCATTGGGTGGCCACCATGGGCGGTGGGGCCTTAACCGGAAGCGCCGGGGCCGCCTTCGGTGTCTCTGCTTGGCCTGCTTTGAAGGCCGCCTTTTCAGCTGCTGAGGAAGTGAAAGGGCACGGGGGGGAGGGTGGCGGCTCAAAGCCGGCTGCTTTGTCTACACCTTTGGTCCTGGTACTGCTGGGGGGAAGAGGAATTTCCTGTGGGAGCTTGGGGGGAGGAGGAGGGGGGGGAGTGTGGGGGTCTGGCGTGGCACTGAGTGCTGGGTTGTGCTTCTGAGTGACAAAGTGGTTCTTAAGGCCGTGGCTAGTGCTGAATTGCACCTGCCTGTTGTGCTTGCGGCAGTGCAAGCAGCATAGCCACATGTCCCCCGAGACTTTCACTTGCCCTAATCCTCGAGGGATAAGCTCCAGCACATCCTGCTCTGTAAGGTCTTGATTGTAGTGGTGGGTTTCACGGACCGTAGCCATGATCTCTGCAAAGGAGTTGTACTGGATGCTGTCGGCCACATAGGCTTCAATATCCTCCTGAGTGGGAGGAGGGGGAGCCGATGAGGCGGTTGCCATGGTCTGTGACCTAGGTGGCTGTGGTGAGCTGTGCTCTTCAGGTCTGTCAGACTGGATTTCAAGGGAGATGTCAGGGAGTTGGCTCTGCAGCATGCGGTCTGTGCGTTCTTTGGTGGTTGGGTCTCCCTGAAATCCCTTCAGCCACTTCCAGCACCGGGTATATGCAACGGTCGTGTTGTTGGTAGTCACGAAGTAGTGGCCATCATTGTCGTACTTCTTGTTCTTCACTCGCTTGTCCCAGCGCTCCGAGAACAGGTAGATGGGGCCAAATTTGGTGGAAACATTCCATCCCGGCTGAGGGGAGTGACCAAGGTCGCGACCCAAGATCTGCCAAAGATATTTGCAGAAGGTCATGTATTCCAAGTTTGCCTTCGCTGTCATAACCTGACGGCTGAAGGCGTGCTGTATGGCTTCCCTCATCAAGGGGTGTCTGGGCTTGCCATAGATGATGCCTTGAAAAATATGATCTCCTTTGACTCCTATGGCCATGACCATGAACTCCTGTGGGAGTTGGCCAGGTGGGGAGGGTCTGTGACCCACTTCACCTGCCTTCTTTGAGTGAGCTGTGCTCCAATCTGCTGCGAGATACACGAGTACCTGTTCCCAAGGTACCACGAAGCCACATTTGATGTCGACGTAGAGGCCGCCGTGCTGGTAGTGGTAGACGTAGCGGAACACGTCTGCTCGATGAGCAGGTTGGCTGAGGCGATCTAGCAGATTGGAGC